AAACGGGGGGGGGGGCTCTGTGAGCAGCAAATATAAATCTATTGACTATCGTTATCCTGAAGACAGAGATATGGTGATAAGATCGAAATGGTGCAGGTTCCATTAAAAAAGGGATTTCGAAGGATTTTCAGATCGACAATTCTTAAGACTCTGCCAAAAACGTAGTTACAATTCAATCGGGGTTATTCTGACTTAAAAATAACGTAGTTATAACATGCAAACAGGTAATAATAATTTGCTGTCAAACAGATGGATGTCCTTGTTACATGGGTAACTTTTACCGTCTGTCATGGCCTGTAGAGTAGGTCATTTACTCTGTAAAGATAACACACTTTTGTATTTAGCCTTGCAAGCTGTGTAACAATGTCAATTTGGAATCCACATGCAGGGAAATAGCTTTCTATTTTTATGGAACCCATGTAACAATTGACACCGTCACAAATTGTGCCCCAGCCTCATGGAATGACCCAGATATTAAAACAAGGGAAAAATACGCAGGATGTATAGAAGGTAGCGATCTTTATACCGAGACGAATATCGAGCTACGCGTGTAAGATTTGCTTCAGTTAAAATCGTCACAAATACACATCCAATGTCTTTTCCCCGACGAGAATCAACCTTTTCTTACGGAAAAACGTCTATATATTTTCTTATCACCATCCGTGAATTTATAAGGGAAACAGGCAGCTAGGCACATAGCCCATCAGAGTGCTGCACGTTTTGTGTAGGAAGCTTGGGAAGCGATAACCCTAATACAATGGCCAAGAAGGTATGCAGGAGTTTTGGTTTCAATACGCATTAGTCTTTCTTCATAATTTTCAATGTAAAAACATCATGTTCTATTTTCAAGTAAAAAGAGGAGCCTTTATTTGTCTTTTTGGACGAAGTGGTTTCTTGATGCGATGCTTTGATGCATTTTGCGGTAGTGTTTGCATTGGTGGGAGAAAACCCGGAAAAATGGTATAGGGATTAGATGTTTTCTGACAACGCTTAGGCCCCTATGCTATTGAGGTATGTGAAATTTGAAGGGAGATCCGATAGTATTTTCATAAGCTTTTTTTTTTTACAAATACATGTAGTGGCATTTGGAGGAAAATGTTTGACACGCCCATTGACGCTTTTGACAATAGTGGCTTTCCGTATTTTCAGTCTGAACAACAACAACAACAACAGGAGCTTTATTTTTTTTCTTTTTATGGAATTTATTGAACGATTTTCCCATTTTATTAGTTCAATTATTTCCAAAATTTACCTTCAACTCTGGAATTATATATCGCCAGGTGCCTGGTCACGTGCGCAATAACCTATTCTAAGCCTTCCTACAGTGAAATAATCTCATGCATTGATTTAAACAGTTAAAAGAAAGGCGATAAACTAACAGACCGATGCAGCGTTTGCCTCTGAATGTGCTTAAATTAAAATTGAGGTTTCAAAGGCGTTGGTCTGGCGATAGCCTGGTCGGGGGATATTGACATGAACGTACGTGCCTTGAGCCCCGTTCATCGGCCTGGCTAAAGGGGCAAACGACGGATCACACCGTCCAGTTATGTTTGCCAGACTGCCTCCGTCTTTGTCTAAACGGTGTGTTCACCTGAAGCAAAGATAAACCGACACACAACCCTGGGTACACAGACCCAACTAGCATGGGATATTTGAGCGGGTCGGTCTGATGTCGCGACAAGGACCGCCTCTGCAAAGAGCAGACCTTGCTTTCGCTGTATAAACCTACTCGGGATGACGCTTAAGGTTCTCTGACAGAAGATGTTTGAGGGTGAATACGGGGTGGCTTAACCCGGCATCATCGATGAAGCTCCCTTGCTTCGTAGAACATGTAAACCGTTTATACACAACTCGCACGCTGGCATGCTTCTGATCAAACTCGACCCTAACATCGTGACGACACGGGGCCCCGAGCCGATTGTGTTCCACGGTCGCAAGGAAACCCCATAACAAAAAATCGGGAAGGTTAGGCCCCGGGGGTCAGCCGCCTACCCCCCCTCCCAGCATCGATCGATCCCGCATCAATTTGAATAGCGGCTCGATATTTGGCAGGCTGACGGCTCCGGCTCGAAGGCAATAATATCATCAGCAGCCGTAGCGTATGTGTGTGTATTATATGCATGCGACGCTTGGGCCCACACTTCAGATCATCTCAAATCAACCGCCGAATTCCTCGCACACGCCTGCCATCGATTCGGTAACAGTTTAATGCTAATAGCTCCTGTGCTGCGATGAGACATAGGTGAGACATCGCTGCCTCCGGGTATACAATAAGCCGGAGACGAGCACTAAAGATGTTCTCTTGTCTTGTCAACATATTTGACACAGGAAAGGGTGTCCTCTTATTCACACCTGCCAACAATTTCATCATTTACCAAACGGCGGTACAGTTTCCCCAAGTTTGCCCAAAGCTTTAAACCGTCTGTTTTCTTGCTCTGACACTAATCACGACTGAAAATGACGGTTACCTTCTCGCTAAACACTCCAATTCAGCCTCCCCCCCAAAAAAAAAATAACAGAAAAATCCCAAGTCTGGCTAGAATTTTTAAGTGGCGAAATTGCAGAGTCTGTTGGGGCACCCACTGGAATTTCTGCAGAGGGCCACTACCTGCTTTGGGGACACAACAAGGGGGGGGGCAAAAGATAACGTACAAATAAGTCACGGGGGTGAGTAGTTCCCAACTTCGGCTTTGATGGATGAGGTAAAGGACTATAAACCAATCCAACCCACACTGCGATATTTGAACAAATAACCCGTATGAGCCAAATTCTCAACCATTGTCTTTAAGTGATGCAGGATTTCACTTCGTTCAGTTTTGCGTGTTCATGTGAAACTTAGTCAAAAGCACTATCTTTAATTATCAAACGAAAGGCCAAAAAACTCGTATCACAAAGGGAACGCACATCATATAAATTACTTCAAGGGGGCAGACGCATCCGTTCTGCATGGCATGATATTTCATTTGTTGGGTAGTGAAATATATATCCGTAGTCAAAACATTGGGGTACAGGACGATTTTTTTTCTAAAACAGGCTTAAGCAGTTTTGATAAATCATGGTTTATAGCGACAAAAATACCATAACTGTGACCTATAGGCATCGCCAAACCTCGACCCTCACCTTGAAGAGGTCTGGCTGTAATTCATCCTCAAACAGCCTTACAGGAGCATAAATCACGAAGTAGCAGAGAACAGCTTGTGTGAATCGTGGCTATTTTAAGGCTTTGGACGAACGCTCCCTCCAGTACTGCTCAGCTACTGGAGCAGTACTGCTCAGGTTGCGAGCACACTGCATGGACACCCATGAGGGCGTTATAGCGGTCTGGTCCCCTCAGTCAACAGAGGAGACCCGTACCAATGTTTCAAACTCAGCACATCTGCTAAGCTAATATTGGCGATTTGAATGCTGATGTGACAGAGCGTGTTAACATTTTGACAGACAGCGACAACGACCTGCAACAGGCGGCAGAGGCGGCAACTTGACCATGCGCTAACCTTTTGCAGTTATACGAGAGGTACGATATCGGAACGCCGCCAAACCCTTTCGCAGCTGTCGCACACACGTTTCTTGATGTTGGGGAGATTTTTGACAGTGATATATATCTTGGTTACTTTTCTGGAGAGTACAGAAATGGTGCTCGACGGCACCAGAATGCTTTGGTTCGACCACTAAGTAGTTTTTCATCCGCTACTAAAGCCGCCATTGCTGCCACCGACTCCACAAAGTCGTCACTAAATACTTTGGCAAAAGAGGTCGTGTACACTTGAGACTATTGAGAGTTTTAAACCAGGGTAAAAATGTCAAACGCAAAAAAGGACAAAGGAAGACTGTGGTTTGGGATAACACCGTATGATAAATTAACCTTTTAGTGAGGATAGGAAAACGACGGCATTGGGAATGAACTTATGTTCTAGAATGCTGTAAACGAAGGAACTTCCGAACATATGCTCTTTCATAACCCTTCAAATTGAAAGGCCTTTTAAATTTATCACATTAACTTTCATCTACAATTCTCAATCTTTGACCCGTTGTTCTATTAAATATGTCTAATTAGTTGAAAGAGAAAAAAGATTTCTTCCAAATAAATAGAAAATATGATCCCTGTGTATTATGATCACCCAACAGACAACCTGTTGGGACACTCCGTATGCAAAGTTTTTCCCTGCACTGTGTAGTGGTAGTTAGGACGATAAATAAAACAGGCGCGTGCTCGTTTTTATACGACAGTCAGTTAAAAAAAAGATTAGCGCAAAGCCTTTATTACATTTTGAGGACGTGATGCAACTCATGTTATTTCTGGCGTTCCTTGTGTACTCAGGGGAGAACGTTTGGTCTTCACAACACAAAAGGTCTTTAATTTCATTTCAATAGAGGGCGCTATTATTTCAGTCCCCGAGGAACTCGCTAGCCTGTATCCTCGAGCGACAGAGCGCAGTGGCTCAGTATTTTGCTGGCAGTAAGTGGCCAGTCCATTGAATGGAAGTGCCAAGACTGATGGAAGATCGAATGGCCAGGCCACCGTGAATCGCAGCAATTGTCATGACAAAGGTGGGTGAAGGAAGTACGCCTGCACTACGGCTGACTCACGGGCCGATTGAAGCCCTTCTTTGCCTGCTCGCACAAACGCCCCGTTCTCCCTCGCCTCCGGGCAAGTCTCCTGGGTGATGTTAATATCTTTTACCCCTCCTTCCACTCGAGTTAATAAAGCAGACTCTCCAAGAGGGACCGGAAAATCCATACTTGAGACGACGAAACAGATTTTTTTCTGTCTTAATCGTGTGTCTTCATTTTGTAATAGGGGCCTACCTATACACACTTGAAGAAAATGTAACATTAGACATACAACGCCCTCAAGCGGCAAAATTAAGTATAAATTGCAGCAATTTAGAAGAAAGTATAGTCGAACCTTCATAAAAAGAGCACAATTATTACAAAAATGTGCTTATAATAAAGACATTTTTAGATTCTAGTCCTTTGTTTTTCATTGTTATCATTCCTGATAATACAAGATTCCCGATATAACAAGGTAATCGGTGAAGCCCGGAGGACTTCTTAATCAGGTTCGATTGCACTAAGTACAAGATGAGAACACATACCTAGTACCCATGGAATCACGAATTCAGTTCAGAAATTCAGATGACAGAAAAGCACATGACAAATGCATTTCCGTATTCTTGCAACCCTGTGACGCATTATTAATCTTAACGCCAGGCCCAAACGCCTCAAATAAATACTTTTGTGAAGAAATAAGGTAAGTCTTTCTTGAGTAAACCGCAACTTTCAGATAAGTTCACAAATCGAATATATAGCCAATAAAGTTACAATACAAATTTAATGACATTTTACGTGATATTTCACGTCTAAGGGTAAGAAAAAGACCAATGCTTCAGACAACTTTCCACAAAATGCACGTGAAAATCTGTCACAGAATGCCACATTAGACAGTGTGCTTAAGAGGAAAAATTCGGAGGATCAATGGTTGATCTTTCGACAAATACCAGAGTGCGTTTTCGCGACTACAAATATGTGAATAATAAATACGTCTATACTTAATCTTTCAGATTTTACTCAATGCTCACATCGCTTTCTCTCAGGCTATACGAATTTCTACATAAGTCTCCAATGTTCCCCAAATCAGCAGACTTGTAGTCATCCTTTCAGTTTGCCGCGTACTTTGATCGCTGTTCCTATCCCGAAACAGCATCCGTCATATTCCAGCAACCTTTCAAGCAGACAACAGCCTTAAGAACCAGGGGTACACATTCAGTCAGTCGCGTCACTCTTCATGTGCACACATTTTGCAAGATAACAACGTATACCATCAACAGTGATGCGTGCTCACAGTTTGTTTGATTGCAATAGAAAAAGAAAATGGTTGGGTACTAGAACGTACGGTACCCAATCCTACAGGCAACGCGACACTGAAAAGAAGAGCAACCCTCTTTATTTACTTTGATCGAAAAAAGAACAGATTCTCACAGGCAACACGAATCCCCATTCACCCGCCTCTGGGATCGTGCTCCTTGACAACAAGTAAAATGAACACCAACGTAACGTGGGATACACGTCATAGGTACCAGCCTATGTTTGTCCGCTGACTAGACTTTACCCTTGTGAAATATGACAACTCCAGGGGCTGGTGTTGCATCTTCGCAATAAACATTACCGGTAATTATTAACATCAATAGGCAGACTCACAACAAAATATGCTTTACACAACGTAAATACGAGTGAACTCAACATACAGATAACGTTTGCTTGAGACGTAGGCATACTACAGGATGTCTTTAAGACACGTAGGGTACGTGGCTTGGGCAGCTTGACAACGACGAAAATTCGAAAAAAGATCATTCGTTTTGATTACTGGGATTTCCTGATTTGTTTTATTGAAAAGAGGCTCGCACCACGCGGTCGTTGAGGGGTTGGGTGGGCCGGAAGTTGTCTGCCAGAAAGCCGTCATCATCCAGTGCAGGATGGCCACCTTTGGGGTAGTTTTTGAGTCTTCGAAATTCTTCCATCTGCGCGGGAAACAAAGGGAGCAAAAAAAAAAAAAAAAAAATCAACACAATGATGTGAGCTGTTTTTCCGTCTTGAGTCATTAAAATACACAAAGGCTCTAGATGGTTTTTACAAAATGTTCCAATAAAATCTTGGGAGAAATTACGCCTGCCCAATTTTACAGCCCATGCTTTCCCAGCGTGCAGCGTGGGGCGGACAGGATTTCACACCAGCCAGCCTAGCATACTGTTTTGCAATTACCGGCAAAACGGATCAAGATTTCAGGCAGATATGCAAGTGGATATGCGGCCGGGCTGATGTGGAAAGAAAGGCCGTTTCTTGGGGTACCCGTATACCTGAGTGTGCGATATGGTCAATGGATAACGGAAAATAATCCACGTGACTTTCTCGTTGCACGGCGGCGTTGTTAGGGACCCTTTGTAAGTCCAGAAATCTCGAAGCATGGGATCTACATGGCAAAACCAAACAGAATCACAGAAAAAAACAAACTGATGAATAACAAGTGACTTTTATACCCACGACGAGTCAAAATATTTGAAGGCAAAGCAGCAAGGTGTCTTTTCTGGAGTTTACAGTTGAAGCAAATTCGAGCACGAAAAATCGTTCTCAACAGTTCGATCAACTTCAGTGGCTATTCTGGTCGGCTATTTGGAACTAAAACTAGGGAGAAGGTTGCGTATTTTTTGTTTTTAGTTTCTCCATTCTTGAGTATGAAGGCAGCTAATGATGCGACACTAAACATTGACAAGCGAAAGCAGCAATAAGTTAGTGCTCTATCTACTATGACAAATAACTAACAGGGTGAAAATGACCAAGGAATGCTTCCATTGCAGTTCACTTGAGTACATGTAGTTTTTTGGCTTCAATTTAGACTGAAAGTCTTGTGTTGGTCTCGTGGGGTCTTATGATTGCAAAGAAAGGAAAAATGTCGGCCACAATGGGATTTCACACAAAAAGAGGCTTGCCTATGGTTACAACAGAAGAAACGTATGGTCTAACCATAGATCGCTCTCGAACTTGACCTCTGGATCAGCACTTTTGAGAAAAAATAGCTCCCTATGAGTTGTCATTGAGCATTTCGGATAGTTTTGTCGACAAAAAATTTGACAAGCAGGGATCAATGTACTATTCCCCTCTTCGAAATATTTATGTTATCTACTCTGATGAGTGCCACATACTCGGGGAATGAATTATGACGCTGAGGAAATTCGTAGTTATTTTGATGAGGAAAGTGTGCATGCTTTGGGCAATCACATTCAACCATCTTACGGACAGCCACACAATAAAAAAGAACAGTCATTAATTTTCCAATGATCGCCAGTTGGAAATAGGTCTACCGCAAATTCTCCTTGGCATTCTTAGTTCAGTATGTCGAAATTGCATCATTTATACCAAGACCCCACCACCACAAAAATGGCAAAAGACACGTTTAGTCGTTGACTAGTTTATCTCGAAAATTTGTCCCTGCCGACAAAGGCGTGCCCTGTATCAGAAGCTAGTTTATTGAAATCTGCGGAGCTTGATTGCCGAAAGAGGCTGACGCGGAGAATCTTACCCGGTAAAAGGCAGGTAGGATGAAATGGCGTGGTGATGGAGATGCTCTTGCCCTAGAAAAGGGAAATAAATTGACGAAAATAGGTTTTGAGAAATTCATATCTGTGACGACAGTCGCAGTAACTTTGAAAAAAAGTCCGAAATCCCCCAAAGCCTCTTTACAACCATCTGCAGCCGCAAAGTGCAAGACGGTGTCAGACAGATAGAAAGACCTAGAGCCATTTGCTAAAGTCATAAGAATGTAGTGTCGATTTACCGTTTGTAGAAACTGGTTGTAAAACTCTGTTTCCATTTTAAGCACTTTATTTTATGTAAATGAATGGCTATAGATGTAAATGGAAGTTACTGAGAGGCAAAAATAGGGATAAGATAAGTCAACAATCAGGGCGATGTCCATATTGGCATTTTCGGTCAGCAACAGAATGGTCAAGAACATGAAGGAATGGTCAACCTAAAATTCGACTGCTGATCTCGTAGAGCAGCCGGGAACCTTGCTCCCTGCCCCCTATACCTCGTGGTTGATCGACGTGAACTTGGTAGAGCCATGACCTTGCAAGAGGAGCTCAGACAAAGCCAGCCTATAACTATATCCCCCGCTGTACTGCGTAAACCCCTTGCCCCGATCCAATTCCTCTTTAATTCCTGGTCAGGTTATAACAGAGCGTAAACGAGGCCAGAGCGATTGGGGAGGGGGTGAGCGAGACTTTTGCTTGCCATCAAAGACACGGCAGATCCCTTGCATCACCTAAAATATGCAATGGATCTCGTGGAATGTATTGCGGTCTGTGGGACCACGGTGAGTGGACTTTTTCGGTAACGAAACCCGCAAAGTTGGTATATGTTAGGGTCATCTTTCACAAGTCGCTGATATTCAACATGGTGAACGAAAACTGGATACCTAACGAAGAAATACGCATTGCTGGAAACCCACGTGACTGGAACCACGCAGGAAAGAGCGTCGCTTTGATAAGAACAATTCTCGCGCCCAAACTGCAGGATATCCTTTCTTTAAAGTGTCGCTACAATGAAATTTCCTTAGACAATTTTTTTTGCAACTTCATTCTCTTCTTCAATGTATGAAACCTAGTTGGTATACCTTTAATATTAAATGCAATAAAAAAGTGCACTTTTTTAACATTTGAAATTATATTTCCTTTCCTGGACAACTGAGGGCACTGTTGTCGTTACGTCATCCAGGGAAGACATGGTTCATTGCGTACGTTTTTCTGTTCAAAGTGTGAAGCCAGAATATACTCAATGTAAGTATTCAAAGACAGGACTGCTTGTTTGCTTATTGCTTCTTACTGAAACAACAATGAATCACCTAAGAAGAGCTAATTTGACCCGCAAAATCTAAACAAGATATGCAGTAATTGTGCACAAACCAATGTAACGGTGAGGTTTTCTTCCTGCGATGACATCACAGTTTTTCTTGTGAATATGGAAATGCACATTAGCATGTGAACTAAAACAGGCAGCAAAATATCCTTAACAACAGTGAAGAAAACATTGAGAATTACGTTAACTGGAACAACAAAGGAGCATTTTAGAGGTCTGTATTAAAAAAAAGCCATTACAGATAGCTTTCAATGCCACGACGTGGACACGTTCGACTGATGGTACAGCTGTCTCGTGTTAGGTTTGAGTGGGAGGCATGTAACGATGCTTGGGACTTCCTTCCGATGGAAAAAATTTCTATCGGGAAACTTTCCGACAATTGGTGCGAACTTACGTTGGTCAATTAGCATAATTATTCCATACTTTGCGAAGAATTTGCGACGAATTTGCCCGCAACTGTGGGGAATGATACTTTGGCAGGAAGCCTTATGTAAATCAAATTTGAATAAAATATGGTACCCTGAGTTCTTTATATGTGGTCAGCATAACAATCCTAGCATACTAAAGACACGGTTGCTATACACCTCGTGAATCGGGGCAAGCCTCTGCTTATAGAAATGCCTTGCACCAATACAGTGTTTTCAATGGATAAAGAAGGGCACGAAGGAACCAGTCCATTCCAGAAACGGTGGTCGCTATGCAAAAGCTTACCCGGAATCACGAGTATAGCAACAGGGTCTGTAGTCTGGGAAACTCAAACTGTTACGTTTATGTGCAATAAATAACTAAGTGTACAAGATTTTATTCAAATTTAACTCGCCAAAAGCTTATTGGGAATGAATCTAACTGACAGGTGCCCAACTTTACATTATTTAAAATGGACATAAAATTCAATGACAAGAGGTCGCCCCATCTGATGTTCTGCGTCTTAATTCAATATGGACACTCCTATGTAAAGAGACTTAAATGTCCAGATTTTTCCTGAATTCGTTCACTTGCAGTTTTTTTCAGTCGAGGACTCTAATGGGGTATGAGTCTGAATTATGTCAAACAATGGTGTAACTTTTACTGTTTCCATACTTAATCGTATCCGCTTGCACGTTCACTTTGCGTCCGAGTCATGCGAATTATGGCTGATAAACTACACGCCCACAGAGGAAAAAAGAATTCCTCCAAAATTTAGCAACTCTTACACATGGCATCCGCGGCAGGACTTTTTTTTTTAGTAACACAATAATCAACGACTCACCATGGCCATTTTAATTGCATGACGTTTTTCTTAATTCACCGTGACATCACCGAAGTATTTTCAACTGGTTGTTTCGAACTACTGTGATACAGTTTTTGTGAAATCGTGCCACAGATGTAGAGCAGCAAGGCACGGTGCGATATAAAATTAGATAAACGAGCTGTGGTGCTATCAGAGAGAAAGTATTACGGGGTTTCCGTCTTCAGGTCTGTTAAGATTATCAAGGGGTGTGTAAATGCATAAAAAATAATGATTTATGCATTATACTATCGCCTCAAATATATGACATTGTAACCTAAAAGTCACCACATTTTTTTTCTGTGGACCTTGACGGTTTTTCGGTTGATGTCCTGCGTAAGAAATGTACATTTTGACGAAAGGTTGCGTGAAGTGTGAAGTGCATGTAGGAAACAACAGGTTATCGAAGTCGCTAGCTCTATCTAAACACCAAGTTTCAACTAAAAGTGGCAGTGCATTATAGTGATGAGGTAGAAAGACAATAAGATAAGCTGAAAGCCTGGACCTGATAGGTTTGATATCCATTATTCATGAATGGCAAAGAAGCTGTCCAAATCTAATATTCATGAACCCGTGCGATTCCGTAGTGTCTGATTACCCGTGAGGTAGATACAACGTGGTTAACGCTTAAATCTAAACAATCATTTTGCCTCTCACTCCCTGTAGGTCTGATGGTTGCTACAAACGTTTTCTGATTTACGTCATCATGGCTATCGCCACCATCTCCAATAAAGGTGCGTCTCTGCATCAGAAAATATTTTGGAGATTGAATTGTTCAAGTTCATTATTTTCTCCTCCATAATTGGCATGTTGCGGAAATTCGTTGGCATTTATTTGGTCACAGAATTATTTCAGGTCTCATGTAAACGTTTAAATGACGCAGTTCTCTTATAGGCCTTCAGTCTAGTTCGCTGGCTCCATAGATCCGATCCAGGTTGGACAAGAGACATTACAATTTGCACAATGTTCGGAAATAATCACCACCAGAGGGTGGTATAAGGTACTAAAAGGAGGCTAAGTGGTAGATATACAAAGACCTAATGGCACTTAGCCTCGATCTCCAGCCTGCCTGGCCATTAATGTTACAAGCCAAGTGGCGCTGCTTTGACGAATGAGTGGCACACGAGTGTTCTCGCACTCACTAGCTCCCTCCTTCTGCGATCGAATTAATAGAAAACTGACCAGAAATGTTCCGTGTCATTCGCAAAGGTGTCGTACGAATGGGACACCAAAGCCTCGTTTTGTGTTTGTGGCGCACAGTGCTAATTGTCACCGTACCTCGCCAAACAGACAAAATGTAGAGCAGCCAGTTCCTAGCAACTAGTTTTTACGTACCAGTTTTACAGATCTTTTTCATTTCATCTGTATTTGTCGTTTGGACATACAATACCAGTTTTAGCGAATTCCGGATCGGCCGTTCAATTCATTAGGGGATAGCGACGGTAGGAAAGATTCTCAGAATCCCATTCGATGTGCTCATCATGTGAATGGCCAATACGGCTCCACTGGGGATCTGGAGTTGCCTAAAAACTACGGACAGGCCGGACTTGAGTCGGCGACATTCGATATAATGCAGTTCAAAAGATAGTTGGCTGTGTAGAAACGAATACCGTACAATTTGCGGATCGAGTATCGGACAACCGTGGGGCGAAAGAGATGAAAAGAGATATAAGTTGGGAGCTGTCACAAGTGGGTAGGGAAGTGTTGAGATGCGTTGCGACACAAACAAACTTGACCAACTAAGTGCTTTACGTTATACTGAGGCGAGAAGCTTCGGGGGAAAAACTGGTGTACAAAACAACGTTGAAATGAGAACACTGTACACCAGCTGTATACGTTTCGAGTCATCGATACATTTATAGCCAACAGTCTTTTTAAAGGGGTAATTGAATGAAGTGCATCCGGAGGAACACTCTCCGCAGTCCCGGGGATGTGGGGAGTGCTTCGCCTAGACCAAATAATTAGCTCACTCTGCTGCGCTTATGAAAATATCGCCGCGGTAAGTGAAGACGAGCGCCCCATTGCACGACGACGGGGAGCTGTTAAATATGCACAGCAACGTTCCCCGCAGACAAACGGTGTCCTTTTTTTCCCAACTCGCCCGCTCTCATCTCCGCTGACTGTCTACCTTGGCTTTATTTAAAAAAGGGGCGGGAGACAGGCACTCTCTTCCCCAGCCCATCGTACAGTCTCTCTCCTCCCCTCCATTAATCAAATAAACAGCAAATTAGCGAGATTGTTTTACAACTTCTAGCTGCCGACGTTGCAACTCAAACATGGCTGATCGCGGGGTTTCAATGGCGGGTAACAGCCTATAGAGGCACCGAATAATTAAGTTACATGCAGCGCGCGGCTGAGACTTGGGGACCTCGCCTGTCGTGGCCCCCTTTTCTTCTCCTTGCCACCGAGAATTGAAAGGGGGAGTAACCGAAACAGCCACTAATGAAAACCACGATTAAATTAATTTCATTTCAATTTGAAACATTATACGGCGCTTTTAACAGTGTGTGCCTGGTCAAAACGCCGGAAAGAGCCTCATCCAATTCACATTGGCGCGCACGCCTGGGAGTGTTTGGGCCGCCCAGAGAGGGAGAAAAACGGCCCGTTGAAAAGGCCCTCGCATAATATCCTCGTCACTTTTTTTTAAGGCGGGGAATAAAAAAAAAACCGTCGCGATTTGATCGGCCCTTGTTCACCCGGCTTTCAATGTTCCCTGGGTTTTTTTGAACGCCCATTCAGCCAGTGAAGAATCAGTTCATGGTAACTGGCAGGATTTCCGGCCGTTTTATTGGCGCGCTGCAGCGGCTGAGGTAGGGGTAGTAACAAGACTCAAGTATCGTTTACATCAGGGGTCTTTGTGGGGGCTTTTCTCCCCTTGTCCCGTCCCCTTCTCGCGCGCTGGACACATTCTTTTCACCACCGGTGCCGCGAATTACGAGCACCGTGTAATAAACCGGGGGGGGGAGGTTGAGGAGATAGCAATGGAGAGCTACACTCCCGGAGATTCGCTTAATTGATGCGACTGTGTCATTCAGTGGCGGGGGATTTGTTTGTTTGAGCTGGAGTTGCTTCTCGAACTCTTGTTACCTTCAATTGCTAGTCACTTCATCGACGCTGTCTTGCAGGCAACAATGGCAGGAGCTGAATGGCTCATACTGGTTTTAAACGTCTAGAAGGTATACGGACGAGACGAGAGTTAGAGAGAAAGAGAGAGAGAGGGGGGGGGAAGCACACTCCCGCCCCAATGAATTTTATATTGGAATCGCATTACAGTTGTTACACACGGGAAAGTACAGACCAATGACTGAGGCGGCCGGGGGGAGGTTTCTATAGAAATCCCGGACGATGAAAAGTACGTCAAGCAATGGATATATGCTTTCAGCGACACGACGTCCAATATGACACTGGCATTCAGGATGCGATCTTGTTATTGAACGCAACGTTCCCATGTCCGTCGAGCGATTCGCTTGTCTCTCTCCTTGCCTTTTTTTCTCCTCGACTGTCCACCGTGTCGCACAGGTTGTCTGGCCGCCCACTCCCCACTTGATGAGTGTACTTCAGAGAACCTGTTGAGCCTTCTGATCGTTGGCAAAGACCGAGTGTCCATCGGTGCACAATAAGTATTATAGGACAACTTGCTTTACTTCATTTTTTTCTTCTAGGATAAACACGAACAACAGGACTTACTAAGCTCAGCTTTATCATTACACACTCATAACTTTAAAATAATTGAAGACAACTCAAGCCTAAAAATATACTCTACATCGTATACCAGCTTCTGGCAATTTTATTGTCGCCATACTTAATTACATGGACACCTAACCTGCTCTGGTTTAAACTTTGTGGGCGTTTTTCCTGACTACAAGCGAAGCGGGTGAGAGGCAGTAAGCAGTTCGTGTGTTCGACGGCCTGCTTTTTCAGATGGTATGTTGTTAACTCGAATGTTGGTAACTCGAATGCATAGTTAGCTTTACCATAGTATTTTTTTATGAAAGGGATGAGATAATGTCTTTATTAAAAGGCTGAGAGGGCGTGTTCATTTTCTCACCAACCTTAGGCCTATTCAAGAGGAAGCCATGTTTTGTCTTGTTCCCTGAATCTGTCATATTCAATGTAATCTGTCAAATGAGATGGTTTAAGACTATTTTGGTTTCCACACCTATGGCCATGTCCGAATTACTTGACTATGAATTGAAATTACGCACGGCAGTATGGGAACTGGTCGCGGCCACTACCCGGACTCTTGCGTAATTTCAGGCCATCACAACGAAGTAATTAGGACACGGCCTCATTTGCAGGTTTTTTCAATGTGGCTTACAAATTAACATATAATTTATCACATATTTTACATTATTCTCAACAAAAAAATGGGGTGAGTCTGTACTGAACTTTTCCTTCGTCGCTGCTAGGTCTACTCTCAGGTTCCTCAAAAAGAAACGTTTTACCTCATTTCCAATTCAAGATGGCCGACATATGAAAGCAGTCAATTTGCGAATCGTGAGGCTTTTGTTATTTCAAAATATAACACAGTTTTCAAAAGTTGTCTTTTAATATTATAAGATCGGTCACCCATTTTTCATCGTAAATAATAATTGTTCAAACATCGGCAAAGCGAGAAGTTAGGTCATATTGGTTACCATGTTAAGTTGGTTTCCCCTACGAACGGACTCCGAAAACCGAACCTGGAATACTTCAAGGTTAAAAAATGGAAACAGGCCATTTTGAATTTAATGGCGTGATTTGTGCGGGAAATTTATCGGCCGTAGTGACAGTTTACGTAGGAAACTCGCAAAATGTGGCCTAAAACTGGAGAAACAATAAAACAGAAAAAAAATCCGCACGTCAATGTATCGCCTTGCAGCTCTCTATCTGTCGATCCTTTGTGGCCCAGTGGCCTACATCTCGGAGGACAGCAAAGAGAAAAAAAGGGAAAAAAATAATAAAAAAAACCCCAAAACAACTTGCCAGCTTGACAGCCCTATCGATTTTTTTCGTCAAAAAATATAATTGGTGAGAAGTCGTGTTTTGCCTTGTATTCTGTTTTTTAGCCCGTATATAACACGCAGACGGGTAGGGAGGACTCAAATCGCTGACGGAGCCTTGTAAACACTTGGCAGCAGCCGTAGCAGCGCCGAGTGGCGCGATCCGTGCCGGCCCGCGGGGGAAAAAGCACCGATCGGAGCACTGCAATCGTTACGCTCGCGCCCGGGCCGCTCGGCAGCAGACGGTCTCCACCGCCCGTGCTCGCTGGTTTTACCCTGTACGTCGATCCCCTACTACTTGGTCAAATAAAAAAGGAGTAAAAAAATACAAAACACCTCCCTGGGCAGAATTGCCAGACCCTAGGTCATTATGCCCCCCCCCGTTCTTGAGCAACGCGGAAGAAAAAAATTTAATTACACAATTCACATGCCTAGGCTGAACGAGGCCCGCAGGTTACGGCGAAATGAAAATTAAGAGATACAGAATAGAGAGCAAAATCTTTGGAGACTGAGAAGGGAAAAAAAAGATGTCCAATAATTATGATCGACTCTAAACGCCCTTAGGGATCACATTTAAGAGCGGGTTGCCTTAAAAAAATAGATTGAAAGAAAAGAAAAAAGGGGTGAGTTTCTTGATAATATCAGGCATGGACAAGACTCATCTCGATCAAAACAGGAGGGCCACACGCACCTTGGACTGTACTGTTTCTAGATAGTCTGTCAGAGTCCGTAAACCCATGTGCTCCCGGCCAACCTACAAGAAACGAAAACAAAAAGACACAGGTATTGTTGATTATCGAGAAGAAGAAACAAACGACACTAAACCGGAGGGGGAGGGGGGTTACGTCTAGATAGAGCTCGGTTCTTAAGACCCTTATTAAGCCGCGGAGATCGGCGGAATACCCGGAAGGGACTTCCTGTACCGGCTCTACTGTCGGTATATATTATTGGGATTACAAACAAAAGCGCAGGAGATTGCGGCGATATCGTGGGGGACCCCTTCCGTGCAATCCCGCAGTCTCTTCGGACGGGGACGAAGACGGAGACAATACAGTAGTACTTCGAGGGAAGAATACTGGAATAACAATCTCGCCGGAGTATTTCCTGACGAGTCGGTGCCGGGCAGGAAGTGACTTTCATACGGTTTGATTCTCCTGTTTTGCCGGGACAAAAAAAGTCGAGGCAGCCCCGGAGCATACTCACAACAGCGAACCGTGTTCGTGTCAAGCGGAGATGGCACGGGAGGGCAACGTGTCAATGCGAGACATTCCGGCGACCGTACAGATAACTCATGCCGTAATGATGAAACTCCCACCTCGGTGGCCTTCCACCTGGATCAAACCGCCGATATATATAGGGAAACAGAACCATTCTCGGATGATTTGACAAATTGGCCTCAGTGTCATCTCATTATCTCTTCACTGTTCTCGTGCAGATATTGTTGCGCAATTCACTTCCCATTACGGTCAACGCAGAGACTATATTCGGTCTGGGCCTTCCTTGCCAAACCGTGACAGCACACACTTTGGTGTCTTGTTTTTATGCTAAATATACAGAATACAGAAAGTGCGACTGCTTACAGCCAACAATGCAAGTCAGATAAAAGAACTGAGCTGGAGTGACTTTTAACCTGGCGAAGTGACGGATTCGTTGCTTGGAGGTCACCTTGAGGTCACTGCGTTGGCAAACAGTCTGGGTGCTAAACAGACTTTCATCTGTCTAATACGGGAGAATATGATATTTTGATAAAAACTGTTGGGCAACTGCCAAGTTTTTTTTACCAATCCCATGAAAGAAAGAACAAGGGGAAATGCTTTGCAGGAAAGGCTGCCTTACGTGCGTTCTCAGTATCACAAGTGCATTCTTTGTTACTGAGATTGCTGGTGTGAAAGACTACTGTCTCTGACCTTTCAGTTAAAGGCCACCGCCTGGCACCCATTCTGTCTAGCACCGAGGAGCCATTTTAAAAGGGTAAACGGCTAATGTCCCTATTCTTGATCCTTTGCGGCTTTCATTTGGAATTCAACAATAATATTTCATCTCTAACATTTCGTTTATTTCGTTCAAAAAATTACCAAACTTTGCTTTTAAATTGAATATGAATACGAATAAAATAAACTTGCCGAATGCAAACTTTAGTTAGAATTAGCACCGTTCTTTAGGGGTACACGTACATGAATACAGAGGTTGGGCATCAATTCATGACCCATTTTTTGAGTTGTGTGTGACGAATTCTAAAATCAAACACTAATCGACGAAAGGTGCAATGTGTGCAAAATCATCCTCTTTCCCCGTCCAATCTGTCGAAGACGATGCTTTCTCTAAGGGCGAGGCTCACATCCGGTCGTGGGTTTTTCTAACCTCGACAACAAGCAAGTTCCTCAGTTCAGAGCAAATCAAGATTCGATGATCTATTAAAATCTACTGTTTTAAGAGTTCAACTTCGGGAATAGGCCTAGGCCTAGACGTTATAGAGTGAAAAATCACCCCAAATCAGATTGAAACACATGTAATTAGAGAAAAGTTCCAGTGGAAAGTAGAGTGAAGTCTTGATCTTTCAGAGTGAGGGAATTTCACTCAAATTTGTCTGGCCCCTAGTTTCAACTGGAAGGGGTGAATTTTCACACGAACGGAGTGAGCGTTTACCCCTTGGAATTCGCACTCTTAGCGTGATAATAACAGTGAATGAGGGTCCTGGAGGTAAGGATCGGTGCAGTCCAAGTTCGGGCCTGGTCATGGCTCTGAAGTCGGTTGTCATGATGATCAATGCTCCACTCTGATGTGGTTTTATCGGAGTGGTGCAAAACCGCCGACATGTCGCCCACATCGCCAAAATGCATGACGAGTCTAAACCAAGCAACATCCGCTGTCGTGATCTGCGTTTTTCGTCATTGACAATATCACGTAGGTTTAACTCTTTCACGCTGTTTTTCTGGGGAATGGATAATCTTCCCACAATTACATGCCCGTCAGGCATGCACTTACCTTCGGCCGAAATTTTCGCTGATTATGTCTCCAAAATAGCTGTTATTTCATGTAATTTCTTACCACAGATGTTCAAAAGCAGTTTAGGGCGAAGCTTTAATGAAAGTTAAATGGGACATAATAGCTCTGGTAAATGTGGCAATTTTTTGCAATGTTAGACCAAGAACGTTTTGACGAACGAAAAAAAGCAGCGTGGTGGTGTTAACCATGCTTCTCGGTTAGACACGGTCGGCCACCAACGTTTCAACAAAGATACAGAGAAAGTGACTGCCGGATTTTGTTTTGGATCTGAATGGATTTCAAGTCGCACGTTAAGTCGGCAAATGAGTTCTGTGGGCGTCAATGCAGAAATGAAAATAGCACGTGCTGCAACAACATGCTTATATTTCGAAGAACGACAAGTTTGGAAGAAAGATTCGAACTGATTCGCTGACGTTAAATAGAATCGTCGCTACATTTCCGTAGCTTTTACATTGTTTAGGGGAAGTGGGATGAAGGGCTTTATGTTGGGTACCCTGTCGTTGGTTAAATCTCTCGGTTTTCAATCATACCTGGATGAAGAGCGCAATGATGGCTATGCCGTCGTCTCTTCCCATTGCCTCCTCTACCGTCTCATACAGTCGGCTGTTCCAGTGGATCAGGTGCAGCTGTAAAATGGTGAAATAAGAACATCATTCCAGCCCAACCACTCCGATGATACAACTGTGCATCTATACTCTGTACTCTATACTCACTGCAAGACTCATGAGCGATGCGCCAACTAAACCTCACACAGGAGTATGGGGTAGGGGAGTCGGTTGTGATTTGGCGCTGTGACCGCGGTTTGCCGCGGTCAACGAGAAACTTGGGCAACCTCAAGTATAATTTTTGCTCTGGGTAAAACGCTGCAATTTTTTTCTCAGATAATAGTGATAGATGCTCATGTAACTGCTTTCAAACTTAGGCTAAACTACATCTTTGAAAAGCGAAGAGTCTGTAGACAGCTGGATTTGATGTGGACTTGTTTTTTTTTTAAACTTGCATTCGACATTTAAAGATGAAGTTATTAATTACATAAATGTGACCCGGTCTGTGAAAATGAGACAGAAGTAGAAAAACCAATTTGAGTTAAAGGCCTTTAAAAGAAATTTGCACACTATACACTTAAATCAACGTGAACCCTCGAGATCTGTCACCCACATAACGTCACGTTTCATCAGATAACACACGGAGTAACAGAGAGCTCACTTTACAAACTAAAACTTCTAAGACTCAGAGGCTCTGTTGATTGACGACTCATTTTCACAGAGCGGATCACAAATTACTTGTCGACTTTAATGACAGTTTCTGGGGAATACTAGTGGAGAATAAGATTATGAATAAAGAAAGAAAGATATCAACGGGTCATTTTCTCCAGTCTCACTCTTCCAACGGAATCAAAGTAAAAAGCCAACATCCTAAAATTTATGCCAATTGTAATAGACACATAAAGTGTCCATAATTTATTTCAAACAAAGCAAAAGGAACTAAACACATCTTTATTATTTTCGCGTGAATAAAGTACAAAATATAACTTTTTAGGGTGAACAAAGGTGAAATAAACCAGGTGATCCATCAATGTAATTGGTAAATGAAACTTGCACGGTGTGGAGAGGAAGTTGTAATTGACGTTTGCTATTAACTATGGAATCGTCTGCCGACTTGATGGGATGCGAACTAAAAATCAACCGATCCTGTTTCTGTAATGTGTTTTGATCTTGTATTTGTATCTCTATATTGCCACTCTTGTTATGTTAATGAAAAGCTTCAGGGCAACCTTTTATTGAGACTGGAATCTAAGATTCAAGATTTAAGAAGACGTTTATTCCATACTCTTTTAATACAAATTACACAGATAATAAAGGGAACTTAGTACATAGAAATTGACAAAATGGGTAAGCTTAAGAAAATACATCAGAAATTAAAGAAACTTATTACATTGAAATTAACAATGTGGATATAAATAACGTTTTACAGATACATGTACTTCATGAAAAGAGAACGTTAGAGCTAAAGAAAAGCAGTCCATGTACAAATGAGAAAAGAACCGAGCAATGGGCTGTTGAGTAAGCAGAGGCTTGTATAAACAGCCCTTAAGACAGAAGACATAACAAGAACAATACAAACAACTACGAGGCAGCAAACAAGAACAAAACAAGAACAAAAAGACACAACAGACAAAACATAAAAGACATGACAATAGCTGACGGCAAAAGGTTATCGGTACAAAATTGTAATGTTTGATGACGACTAAAAGATAATAAAATAAAAGAAGGAGATATTAACCGTAAGTACAGAAAAAGATTAAAGCTATGTCACATATTGGGAAAGGAGGGCTCTTTTGTACTGGCCCACGGACAACGTCCTCCTGATGTCATCGGGAATGGCATTCCATAAACAGGGACCTAAAAAGCGAAGGGTGTTCATTGAGTAGACGGTGCGAGTGAAAGTAGACGGTGCGAGTGAAACATTAGGCAGGCCATAGATTGGCCGTCCCTCACTGACTTAGCAAGTTCGTAGACGTAGGTTTGCAACCTCATTTACATTTAGATTACATACAAAAATGGCTTATGATAAAACATGTTTGTTGAAGTCTATACGCATTACTAATCCATTTCACAAAGACAGCAGTTAATCTTCACACTTTCAGCTTTAATAACCCTTGGCAGTTTTTTAAAGATTATATTAAGAAACCATCACTGCGCACAACGCCCGCGCGATACAAATATAGCAAACTCGTACGCCACACTTTTTTGGGATGTGACGTATTAAAGGAACGTTACAAAGCACAAAATAGAAATGGTATCAGCCAAAAATACAGAAGCTGTCCTTTCCACAACACATCAGTTGGAAAAATACAGGCAAAAGCGTTTGAGCAAAGTATGTTTTTAAGGCATGGGACACCGTTAATAATTTTTCTAGACAAATACCTTAAAATATTCGTAAAAAATAGTTTGAAAGATACAGAAGGGTTAAAATGTTTAAAATATATCTTTGATTAATAGTAACTTTAAGCCGAAAACAATCAGGTCCCAGACGATTATTTCTTAGGTCACGATGGCGGTCTTCAGCCCGCATTCTGGGATTACAAACGCTCTTTGTCTGGGGGTTATGGACGAAAAGGTTAAACCAAAATTAGACATTTTGAATGAGACTTGGCAGTGCGAAATGGAGAGTTAATATGTAAGGAGGGCAAAAGTTCAGACGGATTGAATTTTGCGAAAAAAGTCTTGCTTTCGTGGCGCGCCGGTAGTTATAGCTACTACTCTTAGGTGTGCGTTTTGAAGAAGGATCTTTCTAAATGCCAACAGGTTTTTAATTTCTATTTCGCTATGGAAAGATGCTCTTACCGTGTCTGCCAAGTAATCAAAGCGGTGGTGGGAATGATCTATGTTTGGCCAGCGACAAAATGCCATTTTACTGTTGAAGGAGTAACAAGATTGGGCGAAATCGATATTTTTACAGAGCGGGCTCACTGCACGACCGGAACAGCGTTTGTTCCACTTGCCCCCCGACCTTTTCTGCAAACAAGCTCCTCTCAATCTTTCACCCGGACTCCGGAAGCCAGAGCCCAATAAAGGTGTGAAATTCTCAAATGCAGACTCGTCTTGTTTTGCTCTTTCGTTCTCAATGAAGCCCCACTCTGGTCAAATGTCGGGACCCTTTGACAACGACGAAGAAAAGCAAGCGAGGACCGTAAATCATCAGACTCCGCGAACCGGGCTTCGCTTCAACCAGCCTTGCGCACGCGGGTCGCGGCCGGGCGGTGTGACAACTTATTGGCATTCCTGACAACCAGACTGACACGCTCCCCTGACTCAAAATGTTTTCAAAACACTGTCAGTCTTTTGGGGGTCGGTCCCAGGTCTATGGAGTGTAAACAGACTCCTCGAGCTTCCGAAGAAACAAGCCAGAATGGGCCAGTTCGCGACAGGGAACCGGTCCCCCAACCGCGCTGCAATGTCAGGCGGCTAGTCCTTCACTGTCACTCAACCGTCAGAAAACATCTCCCCCTGCTCAATGACAATTCTCTTCGTTTTGTTTCGCGGACTCATCAAGGCACAGGTGCGTGGAATCTAGCCACTCTCAAAATTGTTTTCCCGTTGTTATTTTTGCAACATTCCGGGTGGATCATCGGCAAGTTTTACATAAAGAAAACTGTGACAAAAAAATAACCATTACCAAAACAACCCATCTCTTTTGCTACTGGACGGGACCAGCCCACTTGAATTACATGCTGGTACTACATTGTCTGTCGTCCATTCCAGGCACACTAAACAGGTTGTTGTCTAGTTGAAAAGGAAAAAAACACTCCAAACAAATCATTTGATTCGGTGGATGAGTGTCGATGCATGCAGGCAACACAGGCAAAGGCAGACGACGACAAAAGATCAAGGTTTGTGAACCCCGCCTAGAAGTGGCTCCCGCGCTTTTTTTATTTTCTGGAGAGCAGACGACTCTAAAGTGGATGAATGCGTCGCTTTGATCAGCTAAGCACCACGGAATGTGCTTCAAGTGATTCCAGGTGGTACGAACCAGTCATATTTTCCACCCAAACCATCTGCTAAATGGCAAAATGTTAATTCTCACGGTACTTTAAAGACAAAATGACTGGGGAAAACACGACGGCAAAAAGAAATTAAAAATGATGAAAAACAGTATTACTTATAACTTTTGAATAAGAGTGCAAACAAGGACTGTACAGTGCGATTTGGATTCACCTAACTGAAGCACGACTCCTTATCATCGCAAAGGTTCAATTTACAACGAATCCTCGAAATTACATAAAATAATCATTGAGAAGCCAACGAAAGCATTTCACAACACGAAAACGAAGACACTTTTGTCATCCTCGAAGGGTCTAGTCACAGCAAAACCACCAAGCACAAATTTTATGGTTATTTTCAAAGCCAATAAAAATCTTTCCGCCAGCCGTGAGCCCTTCTTCTCACCGCACTGGGAATATTGCTCCAGCCTCTGCCACTACCAGCGATATTTCAACGCAATGAAAATGTTAAAATTCAACAATGTCACTGAACAACCGCGACAAGGGCGCCATCTCTGCTACTATCACCATGTTCACCTCTGCCGTCATCACCATTTTTCCTCCGTGACTCATCGATGAAATAAAAACCACATTATCTGGTTTCTTTTCTTCTTTTCCCCCCTTTATTTCTCTCTCTCGCTCTTTTTTTTTACAAGAGTGGATCACCCCGGGAAAGTACGATCTTGAGAGGTCAGAAGGAAAAACGGATTCAATGAACCTTAGCCGCACTTTCAACAAAAAAAACCCGTTTATTAGCAATGCGTGCCTACAGTGCGTACTTGTAACAGTTGTTAGCTTAGGCCTCACTCCAGGCAAAAACGACATAGAAGAGTTCTTGCCACAGCCACACACATTCAGTAAAGTAAGAAAATGAACTTAACTAAATTCTCCAACACCATCCCGAAGATGAACGCCTCTCCCATGACAAGATGAAAAAAAAATATAATACTGGCCCAAGCAGTGATCGCGGAAGTGACTTGTAATAAGTACTATTTTTTTCCTCGGCACCATGCATGCAACCCAGCAGCGACGGGGAGGAGAAATTATGAAGCTGCGCTCACGTTCGATCCCCCGGTATTCAATAAAACACTACCATGTCCCCGAGTCATGCCCCCAACTATTCGGCGCACAATATTAACACTGCCCCGGTCCTCTGTTCCAATTAGATCTACAAGTGTAGGGCCCGTATAGCGAGCTATGAAATCGTAATGGGAACAGACAGCAAATATTACATGTTGTTCTTATGACTTGCATTTGTTGTCCTCAGGGAAAAGAGGCGAAGAGTTCTCATCTTTTTCTCTCTTCTGTTCGGAGAATGAGAGAGAAAATTAATAGGCCGGGGTAGGGCCCCTTTGGCCACAGAGGCTTCTAGACCCAAGAAAAGCACGGCCCCTCATCTTGGTGGACTGTCATTGCGACGAAAGTCAAAGTAATACATTCCCTGAAACACTGGAATCCCACGCAGAAATGTAAGGCGTGTTGTGGTGCGAAAGGGGTGCGCTGGAGCTCATGACAAAGAGCCATGTTGCTAGTACACTGTGACGGAGGTAAATGGAGAACATATTAACATTGGTGAACTACAGGCCACCTCCATTTCGTAGAAAAGAGATTCCCCTTCATTATCCGACCGAGCACTTAGCAGCTGTGATTGGAAGTGCGAAATGCTGAAAAAGTCATTTTCATCGTGCGAACGGCTCAAATCTTATTGCTTTCGCAGACAAAAATATCGTCACGTATACTTGAGGGGAAAAAAGTCAATTTAGAGCACGTTTTAAGAAGGCATTCCTGTCATCTTTGGTCTACCCAGCATGTGGCGCTCCCATCTCTGTCTCGGGCATGTGTTGTGACGTCACTGTGGGGGGTCATTTTTGGCAGACGCGAGAGGGCGCACAGCACGTATCAGAAAAGCATGAGTTCGGCAGGCCCGTGGTGGCACGATAAGTCATAATTAATAGGACAAAGAGAACTTATCACGAGACAAAAGGTGCTATTTTTATATGGAGGTCCTCATATCGGTATATTTATATAGCAAATCCTGCGAAAATCCCCCATTTTAGAAATGTAACAGAAACGTGACACTGATTTTCATGATTACGCATTCCAATTTACACGCACAGCGTTTCCCTGCCCCCAACCCTAAAGGGCCTTGTGATGGGCACATGCCTTTAAGAAAATCTTGTAAAAGAAATTCATAACAGCTACCGACGCGCCAGTCATAATGTCGATTACTTACTGTCCTGAACAACGCGTAATACATTCGACGCACACGTGTCATGCGCGCGTGAATGTTGTGACATTGTTATTGTAATAATTATCTCTGTCCAATGAATACTCTACATTATTACGTAACTCATTGGGCTTAATCAGTACGGGGGGAACTAGAGAGAACGCACAGAGGGCGCTGCGCTGGACCGAGCACCAAGTGATTTGTTGTAAGAGGGCGCTATTTATTAACAGTGGTCGATACGGGTGTGTCTCTAGATCAAAAAAGGTCTGAACATGACAAGCGGAGTTTAGACGTTTTCTGCGACTTTTTCCTTTGCCGAGAAGTTCGAACACAAAGAACCCTCCCAATCTAGCCCCCCTTCGGATTTAAAAGGGGCTTCTTCCTTGGAGTAATTTTAAATAGTTTTACTTTGAGTAAATGGCCATTCAAATGATTCTGTATTGGGGATAATTTATGATGATATGCAAAACTGTTCTTGACCGTTAACTGGAAATTGAAAGCTAACTGGAACAGTGAGATACTGTCTTGAGATTGTAGACTGTGTGAAACGACTGAAGGACTTACGATTCCACATTATGCCACTTTGCTGAGATTTTTCGTGTACGCCTAACTGCCCAAATTCAAACGCTCTGTATGTTTTTTTTAAGTCCATCATATTCGTAACCTTTCCTTTCTTTCCACATCTTTAACTGTCAGCATGCTCCTTCAATTCGTCAGGTTTTCAATACCACCTCGCCAATTCTTTCTTAATCCATTTTTGTTTGCCCCATCGTCATTTATTTTGACATCTCAATGCTCCCTCGCTCGCTAATCTCTCCTGAGATCTTTTTGGACAGAAAACAATTGGGGGAGTGTTCTTTACTCTTGTTTCAAAGGGCTGTTCAATCATTGTCATTCACTTCTACCATTTTCCACGTTTTGTTCGAAAAGACAATAAGCCTCCTAAAATTATATTCTATCAACAAACGACATTTTTCCGAACAAGTATACCAAGGTATATCTGAGAATCTTGGACAGAATTCCTCTCATGAGTAAGCTTGCGTATCCACTTTGGGCAGACACACTTACTCATCGGTCGAAAAGAGCCATGTTGTGGGGAGTGTTCTATTTTGTTCACAGTACAACACGACCGTATCGCGTGCTTTTAATAGTCATTTGTGAACCAGCGAAGTGTAGTTCGTGCCAAAGGAGCCTCTGTTGCTAGGAAAGTTGCTTCCTCACTTGGCCCCGCCCGGGGCCGATAACAGCATTCATTTCCAAGTAAGTCACATGATTGCGGTATACGTACCTCCATCGGATACGCCTTGCCGTTGACGGTATGTTCCGACCCTCTGTCGTCCTCCTTTCCCCAATGGAAAGTAAACTCGGCCAACTCGTAGGTAGAGTCGGGAGCCAAGGGACCGCCTGTCAATACTGGAAGGACAGAGAAAATGGAACTCGATAAGTTTGCATTATTTTACAAGTGAAAAAGATCTGTTGATTTCACCCTTTATATCTTACATCAAGACTCAGGCTGCTACTGCTTCTTATTTACAAATAACGGTATACAGGACAGCGCCTGCATTGGCGTCAACAAGCTGAGAAAGATCATTGCGCCCTCAAAGTTCTCTGCTAGTCAGATGTTATGATACGCATTAATTCGATGTGCAGGAACCAAATGTTTGTGCACAAAATGTAATGAAGGCACATACGTATATAAAGGACTCCACATATTTCATAACTTTGCTCGCTTGAGAGACCACTTTGTGAAAACTGACCGTCGTTGGTATCACTGCTACCAATTAGAAAAAAACACGGCAGTGTCACGAGCTACGGCTGTGGGTTTTCCGCGTGCAAACTAAAGAGGGCGTTGCATAACCCAAACGATTGAAAGTGAGGGGCCTCATTTCGCTGGACCGTCCCAGAATTAAAGGAGTGCATTCCACTAAATGAGTAGGTTTCTACGCGCGAGCTCATTGATATTTTATGATCCCGCAGGGTTTTTCCAATAAGAGGTGCCATCATCGCGAGCGATCACAGATATATTTATATAAATCACGAATCTGGGACTTTTGTCGTCCAACTCGGCGTAATTGTTCACAAAAACCTCTAACCCCTGGGCCTATTTTGCATAGAGACGGGCGGCTACACTGACAGTCGGGAGCATAGTTTTACCCCTTTTTTGGGGTGAATAAAAAAATTCGCGTGGCTAACCCTTATAAAACTGAAAAGAAAAGTGAAGTTCTGGCCATAATCTTGAATTTCCAAAGAAAAGCGGGAGGCCAACCTCTCACCAGAGTCACCAGGCGGCGCTGTTTCTGTACGATTTTTTTCAGTGTTTCCTATGGGCGCGTATATAGTGTAGTGCACCCATGGAGGCTTTGCGTGGTGTCCACCTTGCAGGAAAACCTCCTTTGTGCTATCATCGTCAGAGAACTACTGCAGAACAATGGTATACCATGAGAGTATGGAACAGACATCATCACCATTTGCCAAGGCGAACCTTCACTGTGCTCACGACAAATTTATAAGACAGCAGTAGCCACGTTTAATGTGGGTAAAACTAAGAGAGCCATAGCTTACCTGATCTTGGGGGCGGTTCTGATTTCCCCAGGCCTGCCATGACACCATCTTGGAAATAATCAAATTAAAAGCCATTTTAAAAATCTCGACTCAGATCTAGCCAGATATTATTATATTACTTGCAGTGAAGCGAACGTCCTAATACATTGTGATATTAATGAATTTGTATCACGACACACATTTGACCTAGTCTCTTCCATAATTAGTGCATATTTTAGAGAGCACAAAAATATTGTGCATAGTGTTGTCAAAACTCTAACTTCTTGCTGACACTTTTGAAAATGATGACGACTAGTTGCAAGAAATATAGTATGGGCAGAGCTTTTGAACCACTAATCTTCCGCTTACGAAACGAGCGTCTTAAAGGTATAGTGTATACCATTGGTAAAATCCCCAAAACATGGACTACCGTATAATCCTGAAATATCTTACTTGAAAGAAAGTGCATAACAGCCCCAATCAGTCTGTCAAATATTTCCGCCCAGAATGCTTTATTTTTTGAGAAAACAGAAATTTTGTTCTTTTTTTTTTATAACTATGATAACCCGCCCAGCGTATAAGAGTTCATTTCACTTCGCACATCACATAGGCGCTAGTTTTCTAGTGTGTGTAGTGTTTGCAGATGTGGGAGTCTCCATTAATAAACGGGTAAACCCCCAAACGTACCGGCAGAAATTTACCAACAGCATTGTAAACTGAAAATATACAAAGATGAGTGTAAGGTGTATAGTGGAAAATAAATTGGATCAGTGCGAAGTTACATTTTATTAAAGGAAGGACTTCTTTAACGCGAAAACTTTGTGAATTAAAAATAACCCCTTTGGCATAATGGCATGATCAAAATACGTGGTGGCTGTTCCGAGCAGAATGGTGCAAGGGATTTTGGTCAAGGAAAAGTACGATTTCCTTACGTTAAACCCCCTATGTTTCAAGACATAATTTGTGTTTGCTTATAAGTATTAGAGAATCAACTAAGAATGGTGTTTTCAGACTTTCATCGACATGTAAACTGACGTGAAAGTGCGGTCATTAAGCAAGATCGCGCGCGCACGTGCATTATCATATGTATTCAAGGACACGAGTCGACTGCGTTCCTGGATGAAGTTTTTTCATGAATCCGCAATGTTACATTGTTGAGGAGGCGCATTACTCCAAGGTAAATACACTGATTATCCTAGCCGTTGAAAACTGCTCCTTTTTAAATGAATGAGAACCTGTGAGACCTGTTTCCCACCGTGACCCCGCAGAGGTTGATCGTTTACTACAAACGCCCCGTAATCCACAGATTTTACGCAAGGTAAAAATCTTCGATTTAAGCGTTGAAAACGCAGAGCTGTTTTTGTCGATTTTCACAAAGCAGTTTACTCTTACATGAAACAAGTCAGTGGATTGTAAGTTGCAGTGAATATAAAACACCCTGATCAGCCAATCTTGTAAAATTACGACCAAAAACCAATGATGTTCATTACCTTTAACCACTGAGCTCTGCAAACTGGCGTTTATTGTGAAACAGTATTATTGTACGGAATAAAGCTCATTTAAACACACCTCTTCCTGGTTCTTTCTCTTGGTTGGCTGAAAAACGGTCACGTGTGGTTCACTAATATAGGCTGGTACCTGAATTTGGCTTCAGCGTGACTCGACATGCGCCTAGACATTGCGCGCGCAGATCAATTCCAGAGACCAGTAGGTAGGCCGACTAGTCTTGAAAATGTTTGACTGGTTATTGCGCCCTCTGGAGCTTGTCCTGAATCGAAACAGTTCAAACCCTGCAAGATTTCTTTTCCTAGTTGTGTACAGCGAATTCAAATTAGACTGCGTCTATGAAAACTAAAATGAACTGTCATTTTTTTTGGAATTTTAAGTGCTATTGAAAGTTGAACTAAAACAGTTAAAACCCTGAAAGAATATTTTTCTTGTTTGAGGTGTGTTATAAAACACACATGGACTGGCCAAATTCGGTCACTAGTGCACACCCATGCCCTCTCGGGCTTGTGAGTGACCTGAGGAGAGTCTTAGTTCCCGACGCCTTCGCCCTCATTGCCAGTCCACATGTGTATACTATACACTCGTCCTTCCCTGCCCTTACAAGATGCCTGTCACAAAATCTTGTAAAGGAAATACGTCATAGCGACCGACGCGCAAAGCATTGCGGGTTACTTGCTATCCGCCTCAGCAACACATGTTTGCATAAATATCATGCGTATGCAAAAGTTTCAGCCCGTGTTTTTATTGTTCAAATGAACTCTCGTAACCAAAATTACGTCACTCAGTTACCCTTTCCAGCAACCTGGAGCCAAACTATAAGCTTCATTGATTAGTTCAATAGAGGGCGCACTTTACGTATTTCATAATTGGACAAATTGTATGGGGGGGGGGGAGAATGGGTTGGTCCGTGCGCCGTTATATGGGATCACGCCCTCTGTTGTCAATGAATGGCTAAACGGAGCGAAACCTTACTACTTCGGAGAATCTCCGAACCCGAAAATCTGTTAAGTGCCAGAAAAAATGTTTATCGAAAAAGTCAGCAGGCAGAATGCCATGTTATGTACGTTGCTTAATGACCAGTGCTCTGCTAATATTCGCTTAGCACATAAAAATTGCTGGAAAATGATTTTCTGCTGGGCAACTGTGTAAAAAAATCGGTGGCACCTGTGTATAATCAAACATGCACCGTCGACATACTTGTTTCTGAGCATTTACAATTGCAGTGACGTGCTTGGGCTAAGACCATAGTCTTCGACAGATGTGGCTACTGTCCAGTATTATTACAGTGTGGGCGATGGAGAAACTGTCATCAAGCAGAAATAAGCAAGTACAATGTATGCTTACGTGATTTCCGCCGTTTGTCCGTAATTTACCGTTCATTTTCTGTAAGGGATAAGTTCAGTATATTCCAAAGAAGATTTCTCAGAATTTAAGCAGAAGCCTTGGCTCGATTACATGCATTTCAGAACGACTGATTTGAGCATGTGATGGTACACGTCCACGACATACTGAAGTAGAAACCGTCATGAAACACCGCGGCAAAGTACTGAATTCACCACTTTGATGTATCAGCCATATTATGCAGTGCCACACCGTGAACCAGATCAGGCCACTAAAAGGGGGCGGTACACGTGTGATGGCGGAGGATACTTTAGCTTGTATTGCTTTAACAGTGTTATTTTTATTGACTACTTCAGCAGTCAATATTGACTGTTTTAGCACCTTCGGGGACGTGTAACACCTTTAGCTTTCCTCCGGTGCTATAAAGTCTATGAGGTGCAAAAACATCATATTCCACATCACAGTCGTCAAAATTATATTTTTTTTATTCATCCATGTTGCATTCTTTACAATATTTCCTAACGTGAAGTGTCTCAAATTCAATCGAAAGGGCGAGTGTCTCTGTCCGTCGCTACATAGAACAATGTGTACGGCGTCACGTGACCGTTCTGGGTTATTGAAAGTTTTGGATTCAAGACAGAGGTATGTCACTTTGAGTTAACCCACCAGGTTTGTATTTGACGCTGATCTGTACGGTGTTGCCAGTGTTGATCATCTCGCATTCTCGGCACAGCGCGTAGTCGGCGTTCAGGGTGGGCTGGTTCAGGGTGCTGTCGTACACTGCCTGGCGAGAGTTGAGATTGATGGGAGACTGGCAATCCCCCCTGGCCTCGGGAAAATGGAGACCCCACTCGGCAGTGCCTGCAGTGGAAAGAGGAAGCAGGGAGGAGAACATTTATATGATTAATACTATGAGCCATGGTGAATGCAACGAATCAAGTGAAACCTGTCAGGACGGAGGCAGTAGGCTGAATACATGTTCAGACTGACGTCATACGTCTCCCACAATCCTTCGAGGTCCGCCACCTTCCAAATGAGGCCGTGTCCAAAAAATGACAAGAGGCTTTATATGGGCGCAAGTGAGATGCTTAATTTGTAATTATGATAATAAGATATCCCCATTTTCTACCAAAATTAACAGCATAACCCCCAGTTTCAATTTCTGGGGAAGGGGGCTGTTTGAACCAACCTGGTTGTGTCCATAGGCCCTACACAGAGCTTGTGCCCATAAACTTCGTAAAGCTTGCGCCCATGGGCCCTACATAGAGGCTTTGCGCAGTAGCCTCCTTTGTGGATACCCTGAGGAACAAAAGAACTGGCCTGCAAGATTGTAGCCATGCAAAACCTCTATAGAGCGAGCTTCCGGCATCTGAAACGCGCATTGTTGTCCGTGGGTTCAGGTACTTCCTCTAAGGGGGCGGTAAGGCTCTGGCCGTGTCCGAAACGTGCTTCCAGAGCTACGGTTAGGTCTATTGTCTGCGCGTCTCCAACTATTTCCCATGGAGCGAAGACCTAGACCTAGCCCTAGACAAGAGATTCGGATGCAGCCTCTGATTCGAACACGGTCCATGAAAAGATGGCGCACTCAAAAGGACTATGGGATGTGCAACACGTTGAGCAAAGAAGTGCATTCTCTTACTAAAGTGACAGTTTGGTAATCCAACTGCACATGTGCACAGCAAGATCTGACAATTCTTTGGATAAACAACGATAGTTCACCTGAGTATGTGCAGTTGTACTTGCAAAACTGTAATTCCAAGGGCATGTTATACAGTATGAAGACAGTAACTTTAAGGCAGATCCATTTGAGGGCTGCCGTACAGACAAACAACCTGCGTGGCTTTCTCCTAAGTAATAGGTTTTCTGTGTTGCTTAACGCCCCCTTTCGAAGGGGGGGGGTTGATTCTCAGTCTTTGATGCTGTGGACGATTGTGCATCAATCTCAGCAAGCAGCAAGTCCAACTACCCTAATGTATTAAAATTATTACTTTAAAACATTTACTAAGTTACAAACTTAGAATGGAGCAATACCGACATACAAAAAAATGAGAAAATATTTCAACTAACTTGCTCAAGAACGAACCTGTTCGTTTTGCGATATAAACAGTTGATGTACAATTGCACGGTGCGATATGCTGCTACAAACAGCAAACACAAATTTTGTGCTGAAAATTATGGGATTAAAATGTAACTGCATTTCCTATAGGAGAGGGGTGGTCTTCTCAGCGAGTCGGACAAACTGACGAACGCCACAGATATTATCGCCAAAATTTGAAGAAACGTAAATTCTTTATCTTTTCTGCCAGACACCCCGCATCACGAGACCACTGGAGATCGCCGATTCAATTATCGCGAGAGCTGTCTTTTGCGCCAAAATAGCGTTGCCCGGCGACGGAGCTGGTTTCATCTCAAGGAGCTCATCTGCCATCGAGGCTAGGCACGTCACAATTCTTCTCATGAAATTCTGAGTAATACGAAATGTCAAGTTAAATGCCGAAGACGATCCCTAACACAAACAGGGCCTAACTAAAAGGTCTACCAAATGTAAAATTGACTGAATGTTATTCTACGAATGTCAGTACAAAATAAATTCACCTTCTGCATGAGAATTATTTCTGTAAATAATCCATTGTAGTTAAAATGTAATTCAAAGTACGGAAACTTTTCCAGACCCGCCAGCAACTGCAACCTTTAATAACCTCCTTTAAGATTACTTTCAATCTTATCAGAGTTCAAATTTAATATGTTTTAGTTACTGGTAGTCTGTTTCAGCTGTCTTTGTTCCTGTTCCATAGAGAATAACTGACAAATTTTGCCTGCTTCTCTCAGTACCAATATCATGCAATTCTTAAATACACAGCAACGTAATTATGAAGCGGTTTGCTCTTTCTAAGCCAAAGACGATTTACGCCTACCACTGGCATGTAAAACTACAAACTATGGCTGGCCGTCAGTACAAATTAACGCAAAGGGTAACTCCATAAAAAGTCTAAAAATTTCACCCAGCTATATCACAGCACCGAACAATAAATATTATACCACGAGGTGAAACACGACCCTCTATTGGTCAAATGAACAGTTTGAGGTACAATCTGACATCAACCATTGGTGATATTTTCGTAAGCTTGGCCACCCAGACGAAAAGCAGACAATTTGAAAGGGGTCTATGTATTCCCCCTTAACATTCCCACTGTAAAGTCGTTCCTTGATGGATTCAAACTACTTCAACAAACAACCAAATTTATAGAACAATTCTTTACAAAAAGCTGAGATGTCCTGTTATCCAGTTGATCCAGCAACACGAGAAAAGAAATACAGTCAAATAACATATTGGAGGAAAGAGACTATAAAGAAAACGATGATAATACACAACCAATTCAGTCAATAAAAATTTGCACACATTATTGTCAATCAGATACATTCCGCCCTTTCCCATCAGCGCTTTTAATATTTCTGAGGAATATCGGAAAATAATTGCAAAAAAGCAACGAGCAACAAATCCACGGTTTTCCACCTCAGGCCTGATGATAACTCGTCACTGTTGTGTTCAATTTTTAGTGCAAAGGAGTCTCAGGCTACAGATTTGAGATGGATTTGGCATTCGATTGAAGTGAATACTCTGCTGTCATTATCACATGAATTGATGCAATCACTACACGCCAGTAATATCCAGGTCTGCAAACGATCTAGAGCTCTCGTGCCATTGATTTCTAGCCCCCTGTGAACGACGTCGAGTCCGCTCCTGCTGGGAGTTTGCTTTATCCTTGTCACGAATCACGCCACGCATAAGCTGTGCGATGTACCAGCTTGAAGCATTTAAGTTCAAAGTCAAAATGTGCCCAAAATTCGGGACAGGTCACCTACAAATTGCCAAACAAAAACAAACATACCTTGTTAGCTCAAACGATTACGGACCAAGTAAAAATATAAAGCTAACCGTCTTTCCTTTTTTAATTTCAATTTCAAGATGGCCGCCATTAAAAAAAATTCCAACAACCATTAATGCTGCCACTGTTCAAAGTAAGTAAGTTGAACGAGACATGTTAGACGAGAGAATGTAACATATTTGAAGTAGTTCGCAACTCTTTTGGATCGGTCGACATTTTTTCACCCCAATTTTCCCTGTGGTAAATGTAAAAAATTAAATCCAGGCGGTTGCCAGAAACGAAGCGGGTGAGGACGCTAAACATAATATTTTTTTGCTTCTTCTTATTCTTTAGCATTCTTTCCAGAACGCTATTCGATGGTTGTTTTGTGGATTTTTTTTATACACCGAAAGAGCAGCTTCTGTGAAATCCACAATGCAGGGCCAAAGCAATTCTGTATTTACAGATTTCCAGGGCCCAAGGAATGTCATGTGTAAATATCTGGAACGGATTATATGCTAAATGTCAACCGTTGTTTGGGCTGATAGTCTTATTGCAAAACGGCGTTGGCACTTTAACATATACGAGGGACTACATAATTATGACCAGCGGGTACAATAATATGAGAATAACAGCTGTCGTTGTGCGCACAAAACTGGGCTGTCATTTATATCAAGAGCATTCGACTTCTTGACGACAAACGATTAAAATTCTGAATACAGTATTACTTATGTTGAAAGTACTGAATTTCAAAGCACACTTCATTCAAGTGTGGTCGGTCGCTCTTTGAAATATAACGGGCAAAGTGAAAGAATGATTTGCTTACCTTTTTAGCTGCTTGGGTTACATATCTCAAAGGATTAATGGATAAAGAAATAAAGACTTGTCCATATTTTTTTTAATGAAGTACCGAACGGAGCAAAGCCACTGTAGTTTCTCTGTTTTTTTCTTTAAAAACACGATTAGATTACATTCTCTGTGTATATGATGATTTTTAAAAAATATCTATACATGTAAATGTAAAAGAGTTCGAAATCCGGTCTAAAGAGAAATCCCACGTCAAAAGAATTTCCAAAAATTTAAAAACGAAAAGGGTTCTCCGAGAGCTCTTTCTAGATCAAAAGCTTGGCCAAATTAATTGCAGCATTTCAGTGTTTTCTAAATATTTTTTCTTCGCCAGGCTGAAACAAATGTTTATAATTTTATTAAAAGCGGAATGTTATTAACACTACATTTATCGACAGGTCCAATCCCAGAAGGACGCGAATTCTAAGTAATTGAGCGTAAAGTGCATTGCCCAAATGCATACATAATTCTACTTCAAACAACATACCCTACCATCCTTCAAGAAGGCTGTCTGTGGTAACACTGTTCTTCCTTTCTTTTGTCACTATGCAAGGAAAATGAACTCCAGAAAGAATATTCCAAGGAAAGTGTTAAAATCCACTTTAAATCTTTCAATTGCAAATTTAAATATTGGGAGCGAACCTTGACAAGCGCCCCGGGATCTGCCGCGTTAAGCAAAAATATCAGAGAATGTCATCCCACATTAGCAGCAGTTCGTAGTATTGATTTTAGCGAGATATTCAGTCGCGGACGCAGTCTGTGTTAGCGTACAGCAACTACTCTAGCGTAGGTTAATAATTACAAGAAGACCGTTTACTGTATGCTCTACCGTCCAAGGTGAATGGCATACCCGTGTATTACCCGAGGGTGTTACAGCACATCATAAAGCCACACCGCGCTGCACTAAAGACATGCCAGTTGGAAATTGGCGATTGCCCTGTGCAGCGATAGCACTATTGCTTTATCACTTGTCGGCTTCTCAGTTCGGAGAAGCAGATGTCGACTAGGCGTAATTCTTAATGACAGACCCGTGAGAGATTTATTTTGCTCGAGATAGCTACACCACTCACCGTCGTTGATGTATCTCCATTCAATCCCGTCGGCCATGATGGTTTTCTCCACGACTGACATATTATGCATTTTGAAGGTGTTGCTAGGTTGGTTGCTATGGAGAAGGTTTTTTTCTTGTTTGCGTAACGAGCACTGCTTGCACAGAGGATGGAGGCAATGGGAGCGGTGTGATTTGTTTCCGTGGAGAGCGGTCGATATGCTTCGCGTTGGCGGGCGGAGCTCGTGCACACAGTGTACCAGCAAAGCGTGTACACGTGTCCTCGGAGGTTCTCGAACGATAGAATGAAAATAAATGAGGAGGTTGTTGGCTACGGGCAGGCAACCGCATCTCTCACGAGGTTGTCATGGCAACAAGAACGGTCCGCTCGCACGCTGGACGGTTCTTGGGGGGTGGGAAATCTGTGCAGAGCCCAGAATGAGCTGAAACCTGGACGATTCCCGTTGCATGGCTGCGTGTTTGATAGACTGAGCGTCTAGAGACTGCGATAGAGGGCACTGGACTCTCAATGCCCGGCCGTGAGACGTTAGCTTCGTTCAACGACGCACGGTACCCGCAGATAAACACAAGATAAAGAGAGTATCGATTTTCAGCTCTGATATTCTGAACTAAACCCTAACAAATGAATACGCACGCGTGGAGAGAGCGACCCTTGCTCTTTTTTTATCAGACAGAACAAGAAGCAGCAGTATCATTTGTGAAAAGGGACGTTCATTTTTAAAGGCTGAGGCTTCTATATCTATTGTGAATGTTATGGTTCTCTTCCTTAGGTTTGTTTTTATTGCATTATCTGAAATTGCGGAGACATAATATTTTCCACGGTTTCTGCCTTGTCACCTTTGTGCACGGGAAAAAATTGAAAGGGATGTTCTGAAAATCCCGAATTCGAAAATTCGTACAGTATTTTCCACTGGTCCCTTACAAATCCCATGTATTCATACTAGGATATTTTGGAGGTTGGTACAAGGCTAAGGGTGTGACTTGGGAATTTGATTAATGTTCAGTAGGCCTTTGCCACCGGTGTCACGCAGCCCGCACGTAGACAGCGCTGGGGCCTCATTGTTTGTGTTGACGCATTGAGCTGCTGTGACCTATGAACAAGCTAGTTCGAAGCTTTCCCATGCAAGATTAAGAAATCAGAGTGACGAACGCAGAAACGTTTGAATGAACGAACGCACGAATGTTGATATTTGAATCATTTATAACGCACCTCGGTGATTTCAAACTGGCCTTTAAATATGTTGTAGGCCCTGTGCCCGTTGGATAATGTGGCACTGGGTATGGCACTTTTATTTGGTGTTCTGTTGAAGATTTTTGGGTTGTCCACGAACCTAGCATGCACTTTGGGAACGGGTCTAAAAACGGCATGTTTGGGCGACCGAAGAAATAAATTAACAAGCTATACACAACAAGTCGTCGACTTACAAACAAGATTGCCGGTTAAGCCAAAGACCGCACGATTTTAGCCCAAGATAATTGGGTGAGCCGAAAAGCGAACGTCTCCCACCCACACAGGTTTAAAATCCTATTTACCTATTATAAGAAATGCAGAAACTGACATGAATATAACTTGGCGCCCAGAAGCAAAGTAAAGAAAGTGCGCCAAAATGCTGCACTGCCAATTCTTGCAGCCTACAACACATGAACATACATATAAGTTATGCATCAGCGTTAAGTAGATTGTAAATGTGCAGCTTTATACATTACAACTTATTCATGTATACAATTTGTACATTGACAAGGAGAATTTGTACATATACATTGCACTTGTGATACCTCTGTCTTGATTACATTGCCTGGCCGACACAAATGCATGCCACCCCCACGGTGGGCATCGGACATCAGTGATATCACATCATGATACCATAGACTAGTCCCCACCCCATAGTCGAAATCATAATTCAGTGACCGCTTACCAGGCTATTTATTAGTAACTCTGCTAAACTTCCACATTGTATGGAAACAGCGAACTGTAGTATGGTGTACTATTTTATGGTGTACTATTTTATGGTGTACTATTTACGACACACATTTCTCTCTCTCTAGCCTCCCTCTAGGCAACGCAAGTACACGACGCGACGGCACGACGGCTCCCTTGCGTCGTGCCGTCGGGTGGCACCGTCACCTTCTTGCCGCTACGTTTGTACACACACGACACGTCGCGTCATGCCGTCGCCCGTCGCGTCGTACTGTCTTAGGTCCTTTCATTGTTGCATTTTTTTCTACCTAAACGTCACCCTTCCGTCGGCCGTCGCGTCGCACCGTCGTGCATTGTGCCGTATATCGTTTTGTGCGTCGCATCGTGTATTACGTCGCCTCAAGCACGACGCGATGCATAACACGACGCATGACGTGACGCGTCGTATGCTGTCGCCCTGTGCGTCATGGTGTTTATAGAGGGCGCCTTCACTGTTTTCTTTCATTTCCTTCCCCCATGCTTGCATAGTACATGCTATTCTGCATGCTGCCGCCATAAGCATTTAGAACCTCGAACTGGCAGCTTGTACAATCGCGCCAGCGTAGCTTTTGAAATATTGTCCAATCGTATAGTATAGATGGTAGAAGAACTAACGCAGCATGCCCAAAGCTACTAAGCAACATACACGGAAAAAGCAGCCAGATCGAGGCTCTGCATGCCTATGGCGGTAGCGTACAAAGAGCGAATAGGTAGCAGGTCTTGTTTCTATTGTTCTTTTTTCATGCATTCTTTCTAATTTTGTGTTTTCATTATTAGTGAGTTGTTGAAGAAAAGGTTTTCTTTTTTGTTTTTGTTTTAATTAAATGTAATTAGAGAGAGCGTTATGACCAACTATCAGCATTGTCTCCAGGAAATACATAACGTCAGCCACAACAATGTTTTAGCTTTTCCTGCTCTGATTTTGATCTTTCTAATAATTATTTCTAAATCCATTCTAATTGAGATATAATACCTCAGTCATTATTACGTGCTTGCCAATGTAACATGCAGATCTGATGAGAAATTATGTGCATGGCCAAACAGAGTTGGAGAAAAAACACCGTCACAATGATACACTATGATGCGTCTGTACAATGTTGTATTCAGAAACACGGACTCATATTGAAAGTGTGATGCTGATGAAGGTAACGAGGAAGACTGACCTGAGGGAGGACTAAGACGGAATATTCTGAGGGTATTATAGAGCAGGCTCGGTGGGAGTACTACTTAGAAATTACCGGGATGGACCACGGAGAAATACCGGTATCTATAAGATTACAAATCTACCACAAATGGGATCTTTATCAACGGTATTGAAAAGAAATCACTGCCCGGGTAATTAAACTGTGACAAATTCTGGGCTTCCACTTACACGTACTTAGAGAGAACAGTCCTACATTGCGCGGATTCTCTTTTTGCTCTTTTATGATTTTTTTATAAATAAAACACGACAGAAATTAATCCTAATCGATGAATGGATAAGATAAAAACAAGAAAAAATCAACACCAAAGAGCAAATAGTATGTACCTTGTAAGCACGGGGACGGAAATCATCACGCTGCACGTTTTAACAAAAAGAACTATACCAAACATTCCGGTTATACCGAATATTTATCTCCGCTATACCGAAGTTTCTGTGCACTTTCAATGTTATTTTTAAATATCTCTCTGTAAAGTACATAAAAAAGAGCGTCAAACAATCTATAGAATCTTTCCGCCTGATATGTTGTCATTGTCGACAAAAAAAGAAATGTTAATGTTTTTTCAAAATAAGATTTGTTCACGTACCGCAACCGTTTATGGTGCAGCAAAACGTGTGTGGTGGGTGCAGCTGGAAAAGAAATTTTTTTAAGGGGCAAGTAGTGATAAAAGCCGCTAACACGCTTTCGGTAAGCCCAAGCACATTATCAACTGATAGGCTAGTGAAGAATTTGGATTTTTTTGAAATAAGAATTTGTGTTAAATAAAGGAGTATACCTCGCGCAACAAAATCACCATATTCATATCACCCCTTAAGATAATGGAATGGTCCAAACCTAGCAGTATATGATGACATCGTTGCTCCTTTCCAAGCTCCGTGGCGAAGCCTGTTTTCTCAAACAAAATCTGCAATTTCTGTCACCTCCATTGTTTCCAACCGCAATGACTTTTATGCCCATAATGCAAGGGTAGTTACCCTATTTGTAAATTGATAAAGTGCAATTTGCACTGACCGACGACATGGGGATGGTTTTTGACCGATGTGCATGTGACGTGAACGTGTGGTCGTACATGCCAAGTTGCCAAGGTCAAGTGTTTATTCGATAAATTCTTAGCGTTTCATTGCTGTCGGAGTAGACACAAACCTGGAAGTACATTTGCCGACCGCTATTCAAAGAAAATAAATCAGGGTCGCATCTGACATGATTTTCTAAGGTCAGAACACATTTTCTAAAGAACAAAGGCCAGATGTAACATGGACAAAAAAATATGACACATTTGGACCCCTAATTTCCGGAATTAACTGTATACCATCTTTAATTTTGTGGATTAAGCGAATACCCCGCATACGTGGAAGGGACCGCGTATCGCTTGACGTTGACAAACACATTTGGAGAGACAAAGTTACTTTCAATCAATAAATCAAGCAACCGGCAATGACTCCCCCATGTTGCTCAAGGCAAAGTTATTTGCCTACCTAGAATTTTATGAGCGTGTGTCGGTTCCCTACACTCCAAGCTGTAATTTTGCAAAGAGTGCTGTGTCCCTGCAAAAAGAGTGGTAGATGCCAGGAGCAGGCCCAAGGGGTCAGGGGTGGGGTCAACCCCTTGCTCTTACACATACAAAAATAAATCGAAAAACAAAAAAGAAAGAAACATCAGTTAGAGTAATGATTAGGAAAGATGACATTAATTAAGTAATAAAGCTTATATTTGTAGTTCATTGACAATCCTATGGCATTATGTGTCGTCCTAGTCTTTCCGCAACAATCGGACGTAAAACTAATGACGGGCCCGACCCTCACCCCCAGGAAAATTCCTGTAGGCCTATCTGCCCCTAGAGGGTAATGGATATACTGCTGCATTCACATAGTTTTCTAGAGCAAATATCCATTTTTAGTGGAATATTGGCCATTAGAAAGCACGGTAGAAAGCACATAAATAATGATATTTCTCTTCATTGTGCATTATAACTAAGCTTGATGTGTTTATTCGTAGGCTTACGCATGCTGTTTGCTTGCTTTGTTTTGTTATGAATTGTGGTATTAAAAGTAGTTCTCGTATTCCAAAGCAGCTGTAGTGCCTTGGGATTCATTCGGTTGGGTTAAGTAACAAATGCTTATCCCGTCTGGTTGGGGCATTTGAATCCTATCCAGTAAATTTCTAGAGTCATGTATACTCTGGGCTGATGGAATGTCAAGGGAAAGAACTTCATATACAGACCCCGCTTGACACCCTGTGCACAGACCCTATGAGACTGGTCTGGAAATTTTTTTTCTCAGTTAATACCTCAATATTGTAACTGCTAATGTCACTTTTAGGACATGTTATTGCTTTAAGATGGCTGAAAGGTCACTGTAGGGAAAACGTAGTGACATCCAAGATGAAATTCTCTCCTCATTGATATGTAGCAATATGTACGTGCTGTATGCAAACCTATGCGATTAGCCCATGGTACAAAAAGAGAAATTTGTTGTTGAAATATATGTGCATGATCATTTCTGCCCCAAAGAGATATTGGCTGTAGAAACCTGTGCGAATGTCCAATACCCAATATCAAACTAACTTTACTGTCATACCACTCACATTTGTAGGCGGACTTTCCACCAGGGATGAGCTCACGGATCCTGGGCGCGCAAATATTCTTGATGACCGACAGCCTCATCACCGTGCTCATGGACGGCCGCACCTGCAGTCGTCTCTTTCGGACCATACCCCGCCGGGGGTGTGCACAAAACGACATGCTGTCGGACTGGCGAACGCTCGGGGGACGATGGCAAATGTTTCGGGGCTATGCTCAAAGACACCAGCATCTAAAGGCGGGACACCACAGCTTCTGCGAGCCCGCTTGTTTACTCTCCTATCTTCCCTGTTGGGACCGTGGTAAGACCACCCACAATACCTGAGTGACGTTCAAAGAATGATGCGATTGTTAACGACAGGTTCAACGCACGTGCAGTTATGTAATCTCTTTTCAAACTTCCCCAATCATGACAGTACCAGACTACTGCTGCGTTTCAGTGTATAACTGCTACCGAGTGCTACAATAAAGTGCGCCTCCAAGAGGTTACTGCAAATCGAGAAACGAAGTTTGCTTCGCATTTACACAATGGAAGTATGCAGTAAACTGCAGATTTTAAAGCAAAAACTAGACGATGATGGGAAACAAAATCGGGGAGGCAAAATGAATAACACAGGCCAAAAGTATTGAGGTTTGTGTTTCAAAAGTACTTGCATTCTCACCTCCTTCTTAGCCTTATTTTGTAAATGAACCTATATATATGAGGGAGGAAACTTCTGTTTGTAACAGGCAAGCAAAGCTGTAACTGTGGTATTGGAAAACAATCGACAAACGGTAACTTTCCTTTCGTTCAAAGTTGTCAGTTTTCAAGATGAACTTTTGAAGACATTTTGACTGAAACAGGACGAGTGCACGGTGCACAAAGCACCAAATGCGTTTGTGTAATAGCTCATGTCGACACAACAGAGCGGGGAGTTCATGAACCGCAAAACAGACCTAATTGAGACAGACTGTACTTCCTCTTAAAGGATAAAGCGTCCAGAAAAAATTAATGATGTTTATTTTTAAACTTTTGCTGCGGCAACAGTTCTTTGCGGGTGCAGAGCTTGATAGACTGGTTTCCGTTCTCCACATAGTCTCCGGACTCTTTTCGGACGTCTAATGTAGGAACCAATGGCCGGTAATGAATTCTGGTGGAATTTTTCCAGGTTCATGTAATTGAGGAAATGAGTATGTTGATGTTCATCCCAAGTAACGGTAAAAGTTCCCATTTTGCTTATCTGCTTTATGTAATTGTGAAAATAAATTCAGAATACATTGCTCGTCCATGTGATAACTGATTAATGTTATGGTTGATATGAAGTTACTGCAAGAAGAGGTGAACATAAACATTTAGCATGAGAGCAAATTACAGCATTATGGTAAACAGGGGCTAATAGAAGTCAGTATTATGTATTATTTGTTACCTGAGTGACGAGCAAGATTGACCAGCGTGCAATCAATGCCACTGGCTTAACCACAACAGTTTTAAACCCAACCCCCTATGGTGTAGGTAAATAATATTGAAGTCGGAGGAGGGTTATCACTCAAAATTCACACAAAAGGGTCAATCAGACGCGTTTAAATGCAAGCTAGCTACCGATTCCTATACATGATATGCTTTATGATCACTGGGACTGGGACCTGTTAAAAGGCTTGATGTGCCCTCAAGTGAAATGTCCAGTTCGCACCTTTCAGCTTTTGCTAAATATCGCATCCACTTGTGCAAGAGCCCTCTGATTACTTCGACCTCTTCTTTGAGTAGCTACAGATTTTTGTAAACATCCAATGGCCCAGGGTTAGTGCACATGCACATGCATTGATAAAAGCAGCAACATACCCATAATACTTTGAGCGCGGACTACTCCTAACACCGTGAGGAATGTTTATGGAAGATCTATCCCTGGCTCCTTATCATTATGAAGGAAATTCATGTGAATTGTATATGAGACAAAGGATCATTTTGTCAAGCACAAATAGAGGTGGCTGAAGTTACATTCTACGAAAAAAGAAGAAAAAATCAAGGCAGATTTTGAGGAATTCTGCACATTTCACAAAAACTAAAGAGGGAGAAAAATGAAACAGAAGAAGAAGAAGCTACGAATACATGGTTTGATGAAACGTCCAGGGTTGTATGTATGGCTGTACATCTGCATTATGAACTGCGCCCGCTAGTGTCTTATGCTATCAGCACATTCCCATCTCTGCTTTTCAAACTTACGTGGCCAGATAATTCTCGATTTACGTCGTCCCACAGTTTTAAGCACAAAATAAAACCTATGAAACTGATGTGGGCAATTTTTTTTTAAATTGTGAAAGAAGAATCGATTCGTTTTCTGATCCAAAGCTCCCTCCTCACTTTGTCTGTGAGCCCGGGTATGATAAACGGCGCCCTCTTGCAACACGGCACTTTTTGTGCAAATGTCTGACGGTCAAACACTAATCAACCCCTTCATCAAATGATGCTTTCTATGGCAGTATGTACGATCGACCGAATTTCTTCCTGGTGACAATTTATCATTCCATTTCATTTTCATTAATAAACAGGAAATTGGGAAACTTCTGTCTCTTTCACAGAGCCTAATCTCAGCTGTTCACCGCCTAATCTCAGTCAATAAAACTGTAATGAGATCTCGCCCACTCGCCGCAGCTGCTGCCGACATTTTGTCTGGCTATGGCAAGCCATGATGTTTGCCAACGGCTGGTTGGCAACCAATAAGCTAAACGGTGTTCTGTGAAATGTGCACTCCCTACATGAGTGGCTGTCATTGAACCTCCCTTTTGAGCATTTTTACCAAAGTGAAGGAACTTTATGAAAGGATTATATAGACCGAATAATAGCTCATAAAAAGAGACATTTATATTAAGAACAAAGTTGTGCAAAGGCACCATTTTATTGAAATCAGTGATAGATAGGGACCGAAATATTTTTGAACAAAAAAAACCCCCCAAATTGTGTATTATCCGACAGTGCACTAATAGGGCCTACTTGTTTCACGCGGATCCGAATTGCGATCGGTGATTCCAAAGCTGGTTCGCGCTATCAAATAAGGTGGGGTCTGGTGTCAGTAAACCAACGTCGGATCACTGATCGCGATTCGGATCCAGGTGAAAAAAAACCAGGCCCATCGTTGCATGCTGTGCTGTACACACAATGAACAGCCATTTTTGCTCCAAAGTCTGGAGTTGGCGTTACTCTCTCTATAAATACAGCTCTCGCGCTCATTTCATTGCAGCACCACCTTTTGATATCACGTGACGGCCATCTTTGTTGTGCCGGAACTTGAAGAATAGCAATTCATCCGATCCGAAGACGAGTGAAATCCCCTGCTAAATACGCCCTACCTTACTTGCCAATTACACGTGACTCCAGGAATTCCTTCTCGTTCATTTGCTCCCGTTTGTCTCTTTCCCCTCGTTGCGGTTTCATTTCTCTTGGTTTCGACCATTGCTGACAAATGGATTCGCAGGTTTTATAGTTAATTTCCCAGGGATGTCCCTTACGCCTTCGCCGTCGTCCGGGGCATCAAGAAAAAATGTCGCGCCGCGTAGATCTGGGGAAAAAACCCGACTCCCCGTAATTATTTACAGAGGGTGTGTAGGGGGAGATACATTAATCTTCCCCCTTACTGAGAGCCACCTTCAATCGGGGAGGCTTGGCGTGAAGAGGTCATGTTTTCTTGTGGCTGAAGGGGGAGAGACACAGGGAGCAGCGGAGAAGTTGGAATGCTTTTGAAATCTCGTTCCAGATTCAGCGGCCGTGTAGATGGAGTGCAGCACCGAGTACGGTCTTCTATTGTTCTGACGAGGACCCCGAAATACTGACTGAAACGCGGTGGTATGCACTTCAGAATGCATTTAGCTGTTTTAAGACCCGTCACATTGTGTTGAATCAATCCAAGTTTCCCTTTCCAGTTTGCTTGACTCTTGATGTCAAAACTCTATGGCGAATCCAGCTCTTGGGTTGGGGGATTTATCTAAAATGACTGTCCGATTTTTTTGTTCGTAAAATAATCTGTATACCTTCCCCCAACAAAGGAAGTAGTATTGTTTCTGCAAAAGAAAAAAAAGGGGATGACTTGCCCTTCGAAACTAGATTCTGTCAAACCCAGATACACATGCGAAAACTCAGGTAGCCAGCGCTAGCGACCTGTTACTAATTAGCTTGAGCAGTGCCTTGGCGCTTGCATGGTAATTTCTACAGAAATTGAAGCTAAAACCGAATAATTAGCAAAGGACATGATTACGCCTGGTGTAACATCAACCTGTTGCCCTAGCAACGGCATCGTGATCTGCGAGACAGGGTAACCATGGCGAATGCTTGAGCCTGATGAAATATGAATGACTGAATCAATCTGGGCGACACAGAACAGATTTTCGCCTGTTCAGCCAGGCGTTGAGGCCTCGGCCTTAAGACTCCAGCATCAACCCCTATGTGAACGGCTGAGTGCACAGAAAAGACTTTTCACATACTGCCGCCATTCCTGCAAATCGAAAAAGCAGGCAGCATGTTTGAAAGCTGCTGCGGTTTTCTCATTTGTCTCTGAGGAAAGTAAAGTAGATGTGTCTATCAGGTCACGTGTTATACTTTCTGTTATTTCGCCTTTGTAGATTAATGAGAAACAGAAGAAATATATCTGTCAATCTGCTGAGTAGAAACAGTAATAAAGAAAATAAGTCCAAAACGAAACTCATGACCTTTCTCCCAAATTTTATTCATCCATTTTCCAGCTCCGCATACATAGAATTTATAGCGAAATACAAAAATTACATCGGAACAAAATGGATTATATATACATTTTTATAGTTTGAAATACAGATTCATAATATAAACCAGAATACAACAAATATTGGTAAGACTGACGCAAGTCTGAAAATCACAACAGGCAGATCATAATGTTATCCGATTGATAACATCATGTTTCTCTTTCATGCCTAAATGGAATACATGTAGTCTAATCCCTCTCCTGAAAGTAATCCTAACCTCTCGCGTACTTGGCTGCAATTGTCTGTATAGAATGCTGCAAGTATACATCCCGTGTATGCAGGGCACTTGTCCTCTCCAGAGCCTTCTTCCTCGGCAATTCCGTCTGAAGCCCTCCACTAATTAGATTTCATTTCAGCAAACATCAATCTTTAAATTTATCTTGCAAACCTTTCTAAACCGCAACACCACTAAAAAAAAAGCCGCGGTGGTGCCGTGCATGTCATTTGACGGCTTGACAGTCGGCATCGCGAACGTACAGACCGGCTAGAAAATCCCGTGGGCGTGTTTACCATGGAAAGAAAACATATTTTCCTGTCTAAAGGTGCATAAATGCGCCGTTCAGATTTTGTATCATCGCTCGAGATCACGAAGCGCTCTTTTAGTTTCAGAGTGTACCAACGATCGAATTGGCTGTCTCGCATCAGCGGCCTTTGACGTTTTCGGCGAGGCGGATTTAGACCTTAGGAAAGACGGTCGACCCTTCAAAACCAGGAAGTCGTGCACAGTGTAAGAAATACATCAATCAAACCATGTATACTTAGTGAAAAGAACTGAGTGAATGTTACCGGTTCAGTTTCTACATTATGTTACACTATGTTACAAAGTCCACATTTATTATTATAAATTGAAACAAACATTTTAGTATAGTCTTGATAAAGTCATCGATAAATTATGATAAAATAAAACAAAAATGAAAACCACTGTTTTATATACATGATAGCACCACGAGAGTGTTTGATTAATACCTTACCCTACGGGGAAATGCTTTAATACAACAATTTGTATAATTCCAATCCAGCATGATTTAAGGGTTAAATGCACTCTGAATATCAAATTAGCGATGTAAATGTACAGTTTGAGGAAGAATGCGTTCATTTTGACAGCGATAACTATTGACTCTGACCAGTCGTTGCGTAACGACCTGTAGAATTATATTACGCTTCAAGCGCAATATTGATTCTTCAATGAGAATACATATTATGGTTGGACGGTCTTCATTTATACACTGAGCTAATCCCAGAAGAAAATTGAATTACTCGTGGAAAACAAATTGGGGGGATTTAGAAATATCTCAAAATAAAGCATTTTTTGCAAGCATTTTAATGATTTCTATGATAGCTTTGATTTGGGCGTTTGTTCGTTGTTTCATTGCCGTAGCTGAGGCTCCTCTTGTTATGTGAGATAAATCTCTAAAAGCGATGATGAAAGATACAAACATCAGAAGGATCAAATATATCATAAAGCAAGGGTTCAATCAATGATGAGGTTCACTGAGGTTAGCTCCCACAAAATAACTTGAGACAACTTTACGCCTGACGAAACGAAGTGTGAATTATCTTCGGATGAGATATTCATCACATCAGGCTCTTAACGCCTGCAGTCGTCTCTTAAAACGAGCAGCGTGGTCTTGGTACTGCAGGGATGAATCCCCGACATTTGAAAGTTAAATTCGTGTAGTCTAAACTGTGCAGAGCGCCTGCAGGTATCTGAACGAACCCAATGCGAAGACACGCATGAATATTCAGCTTCATAATACGCCCCACAGTATCGAGAAAAATTGTGCATAAATAAGAGTCTACACAGATTGTTTTAATCGATACTGGGGAAGCAGGAAGTGGTTGATTTGACACTGTGGTAGGCATCGATACTCTCTTGTATGAAAACTCTGCTTTCTCGCGAATAGGATTCCTCTCACGTCTGACCTTTAGTATTCCTGTCCCAATACCTCAAAAAGCGCCAGGAATCAGGCACAAGGGTCACGTTTCAGATTTTCGTCATGGTAGCAAGTTGAACCTACCCCCCAAATTTTGACGCTTCCCCACCATAAAAAATCTGTGGCTTGTCTGAGACCAGACGATGCATTTTCCCCGACAGTGTGGACGAAGATATTTGTCATAGTTTGCATTTGATCGATTTATTTGCCGAACGTGACAGAGCATCTGGGACATCGTAGCGGGTGACACTGTCATCGTTATTTTCCACCCACTCTGACCTGTCACACCTTGTTATACCACGCGCCGCGTGTGCCGCGTTATGCACAGTTTTAAGTTCAAGCCGTCACCACGGTGCATCACGCCACGAAGGAAGAAATTCAGAGGTAATGATTTTAATGAGTCGTCTGTCATGGAACACTTTGAGGTGAATCAAACTGGGACCGCTCTTACTGATCATAGCCCCTGCAATATTACAAGTGCATCATATATAACTGATAATGCACATATCCCATTAGTCTAATTAGCCGTTATCACGAATTCGACTCATTTGCCTCGATCGAGCCGTCATCAGTTATAAGTACACATACAGACTGGTACAACTAGTCATTAGAGGGGCTCATCTGCATCATCTTTATGGGTTCAATACGTAATCAATTTATAAAAACAGTTTACGAATGACGTCACGGAACGCTGATAATGGCCATTGGCCAATCACCTTAATTGCTACAAGGTAAAAGGATTGAGGAACGTGTGAGACACGCTCGCTCCTTATTCAACCCAAATTCAATTGGGAAGAAGGAAATACGAATAACACAGGCAGTGTTTAGACTGGAAACGACCACAAAGCCTTCCATCAAAACAAACTACTGGATTTATTATGCAGGTGTCCACACACAACTGAGAGGAATGCCAATGTTAAATGACATCTGAGACAGTGGAGTAAAAATAATGGCAACTCACTTAATTTAGGGACAGACACTTAGACTGAGGGACAAGGCTGATTCAAACGTCTGAAGTCCACTAATGTGTCAACCGTACCTTTAATTTGTGGACTTCTAGCATTACCAGAGCCACACTAGCTAGGCCTATATCATAAGGTTCACTCGCACAGGCGAGCTCTTTACTATCATCCCTACTGGCTTGAACACCGAGGTGTGCATACCAGCAACGATCGATCAGATTTCGAGGGATGTTATTTTGAAGAGTCCAAGGACTACATGATGGAGCATCCGCCATAATTTGGCGGCTGAAACAACAGCTCGGCAATATCTATCTTCATTGAGTCGTGACGTGATCGTATTGGCCCACACTCCATTTGTGCATGGCACAGACATGATTTCCATCGGCCACAATGCGGGCGAATCCCAGAGAGCACATCTGTATCTTACATTACAGGGCCACTCGTTGATCGATATCAGTTATTATGGATCTCGGCAGGACATAACCTAGCCTACAAATATGATAGAATACATTTCACACGTGTAAAAGTAGCACGCGAAGGACCCAGAAAAAAAAACAAACGACCAAAAGAATTTGTATTTCGTGACGTGAAATAAGCGGTACGCACTCCTTTACCCGAAGATGGTGGTTTACATTTGTAAAATATTTCCTCTTCTCCGTTGAGGGGTAAATATAAGTATAGCAACTCGTACTTTCACTGGTCGTCATAGTGACCAAATATTCGCCGACAACTTAAAAATTTTTGACACCTTGCAACTTTAATGGCATGTTTCATGAGCCTGAGGAGAACATGACCGCCACACTATTTAGGATGAATTTTGTCAGGCTGGGAATGCTTAGATGAAAATAAGCCCACTCAAGTTTCCGGAAAAGCAACCTATCCGGTGAACTGTAGGAGCTAACGTCAGCCAGGAACAGATGTTTCTCATCCGAGAAACTTTAACTTCCAAACAGATGGCCTCATCACATGATACAGCTGCCAAGTCATGCAGGCTTGATATAAAGATAGGAGAACACATAAAAATGAAATATGTGTTACGATGAAAGGGTGGCAATAGCGTAAGGGCGGTTGTATAATCTTGTTGCAAAAGCACAGGAACAAGTTAAAATATGAACACAAATGTCCCATTATCAGCAAGTGCTTTCCATTACAAAATACCGCCTTTATTTACTTTTAAATAACGTAGTTTGAAACAGAAGTCGACATGGAAACGCAGCATTAAATTCTTGAGGACAGACGACCACTTAATAGTTCATTCGCAATCGACAAAGAAGTGATTTTAATGACGACCTTACTGTGAACGTCTAGTCGGTATCTAAAAGCTGGAATTCATCTTATTTCAAAGTTCCCCAAAGCATTTGTGTTATAAAGCTCACGCCAGAACATTTAGTACATTTAGAAAAGAAGAAGTGGGAATTTTGACAGCACGTGAGTTCAATGCGCATGACAAAAATGGAAAAAAAACAAACTCCAAGTACTGTCTGCTGCCACCAAGCAAGTGAATGGTCCCCAATGGTTTCATTCATAGGGGTTGAACGTGGATATCATTGGCTGGTCGGATTTCCCAAATCTGCGCTTCGTCTTCGCCTTCACCTACATAAACAAAGTTGTGTTCTCGACGAGAGGGTGCAGTTCAATGCAAATCCATCAACTTTTGCTTTTTTGTCTTCCATAGAGCCAGAGGTTGGAGGCTTAGAAGCCAAAGAGTGGAGTCACAGTTTGGAGGCTGTAAAGGTAAATGTCTAGAATGTGCACTCTGGAGAATCTCAAGCCGGACAGAACGCCCATATTATTTTGTTTGGTTTATTTACAACACTTCCATCACATGGCAGGACTTGGAGCGTGCGCGGTAACCCGGCGGCTCGTCCGTGCTCCTCCGCCGGAGTATCCGCTCCAGGACCCCACGCGCCCGGTTCAGCATGGAGGAGCGGCGGCGCTTATGGACGACGCTCTGCCGGCAGGGACTGTCCACTTTGCCCGTGGAGTCCATGCTGCCCCGGCTGCCGGACTCTTCCTCCTCATCCGACTTGAGCCGGCTTCGGAGCCGGTACTGTCGGACCACGCCGTGGAAGAGCTGCTCGACGTTGTGGGAGATGGCTGCCGAGGTCTCGATCAGCTTGCAGTCAAACAGAGCGGCAAAGTGCTTCCCTTCTGTGCGACAGTAATGAGAAAAAAAAGCCTTGTAAAGCAACGCTGAAAGATATGTCGATATTAAAACGAGGATAAAAGCAATTTATGGCTTGTTAAGATCTGCGTGGTCGCACACAGAAGGAACAGAGATTGGAAAGTAAGGCTGAGAAAAAAGAAATCTCGTTTAGGTTTGTTGAAAAGCGTTGTGGATGTGGCCTCCCTTCTTCGGGCGGATTTTTGTGACACTGAAAATTTTGTATTTACAGGAGTTTTCCCCAAATCTGACAGATTTAAACTGGTATTATCACTATGTAAGAATTAAACAAAGAGTTGCAAATGTAACAAAAAACACACCAACAAACCAAACAACCAACGAAAGAACGAATGAACAAAACAAACAGTAGGAAGAAAAGAAGCGGAAGGGTACAAACTGCTTGATTATTTACTCGGTCAAACAATAAATCCGATGTAGATCAGAGATGACTTCTAAACAATTTCCATGAGGTTTGGGAAGATGAGCGCAGCGGCAAATGATAATGGAACATAAATGAAACAGACCTAATGACATGGAGAGAGAATTTGGGGAAGATGAAGTTGGGATAAAGATATCGGCAATTTCAAACCACCGAGAGTTTGAAGTAACTATAGTCGATGCTCTTCACAAACTGCCACTGATAAGGCTGTTGGAGTGCAGTGTAAATATGCCAATTGTTAATGCCTGCGTTTCACGAACGATTCATCAATATCTCTGTTGCTATAAGGGTGCCCTGCCACATCATTACGTCCACACCGCGAGGAAAGGTTAGTGAATTGTTTTAGTTGGGAGTGCTGGTTTCCATTAACATCTTTGCAAGTGGACCAAGACAAATTCTACCAAAAAGTCAATACGCCAAGGTGTAATGATTAAAAGTCTAAAGTGATAGGTTAATGGAGTCAGCAACGTTCTATTGAAAGATAGACCTACTATTGAAAGTTAAGAGTACTGTCCCAATTGATGTTAAAACGGCGTAATGGCGCAAAAACAATTTTAGGTAGGGAACTGCCGCGCAAGCAAAGCAGACAATGTTTTTTGTTCGACACAGTACTGGGGAACAAAAACGGCTTTTGCGAGCATCGATGAGATTGAGATGATATAGGCTACACATTTCCCCAAATGGACACCTTTTTATTCACAATATGAGGTGCGTTTCTAGTTATTTTTGCGCAGTATTCAGTGAAGCTCTGTACAGAAAATCAATGATGGATTGGTTGACGATGTCAAGTTGAAATGACATGTCCGTGAACTACAAGCCAATCTGCTTCTACCCGTAAGGAGAACCCATCGTGTGCGATTTTAACATTGAAGTAGTAAACGGGAGACCCGGGGTGCCAAGCAAAAAAATTATGAATTGAAGGTTTTAGAAGGGGTTTTTGAATGCATTCAAAGAAACGAAAAGGGATCTGTTTTAATTCTTGAAATACATTGCTATGAACCCTTAACCCTCGTTTTTCAGTCATTTTGTTAAGTGAAAGGATTGCAGTGCCCCCTTTCAGTTCCATGCTTAAAACTCTGCATATTCACACACAAAGTTGGGACTTCACAAAACCGTTTTGACTATCTGGTCAAAGAATCCTTTTAAATTATTTGCAAGCCCCCAATAAAAAAGAATATCAGGTGCCCTTTTCATATACAGTTCAGATTCTAGACACTCAGAGCAAAACAGAATCAACTGTCTAATTCCTGTTCTGGCTGCTTGAGTTATGCCCACATAATCTCTCTAAAATAGCCGGGGGTATTTGTCATGTCTCTATGAGCGTCCCAGGTCAACTTGTGACCGAATACATGATGGACCTAACATACAGCGCTGAGTACATCCAGACATACCTGTGCATTAAGGGAGAAATGTTGTTGGCCATAATCACGCGAGCACGCTAGCTCTAGCTGCCATATTTAGAAGTGCGCGCTGGATACGTAGACCATATGGTGGATGAAGTCGTCGCCCTTGGACATTTTGTCCCAATAAAGCCCCGAGGGCAGAGGGTAACATTTTCCCACAAAACCTTAGGCGGCGGACTCTTTCGGAGTCCAACTTCGTTTCGTTTCGCGGAAAATTCGAGATCTGACATGGAACAATGAGAAGTTCCTCCTTTAATTCTGAATGTACTTTATCCCATTAAATTCTGCAAAATTTGACCCTGAATCTGGGAGCAAACCTTTTACGGGGTAAAAATGACACGGAAGAGGGATTGGACCAACAGAAAGCTTGGAAGTTTATAATATGTTTCTGAAACCGCTTCAATGTGCCTATTAAACCCCGAATCCGGTAAAGATGAAAATGATGTTGCTTGAATACCGGTGAAGGCTCTAAACGTGAATAAGAAAAGAGTGCTTGTTACTTGGCAACGACAAATCAAATGCACGAAGTCCTGTTTTAAGGCGCCTTTGCATTATGTGCGTCAACACTTGCGCATCCCTGCCGGGGCAACCTCGTTCCCATGGGCACGATCTTGCCGCGCCATGCTGGTTCCCACAATGCCTTGCGCGATCTAACCCCTGGTATTGTATAATTTAAAAATCTTTCTATTTGGTATATTTAAATTAGGACTTTAGTCAGTACTGTGTTTACGGGCGACGCAGATTTACAGGTGAGGTGCAAGAGAATATGTGGGCGCGAGCGCGCAGCTTTTGAAATACGCACGCGCCTGACTTAACGTTTATGTTTATTCATTCTAAATAGCCAGTCAGTCATTTTCGCATTCTACACGACCAAGGGCTAGGGAAGGAACGCGTAAGCAGCCCACCGAGTCGAGGGTGCTCTCAGGGCGATTTTAACGGCTGACTCCATGTAAATGGGGTCAACTGTTGTGTCTGTGACAGTGAAACGCATGAACGCATCGTGTGCGCAACGGGCACCAAAGACGTTTATATGGAAAGGCGCCTTTACTGTACCACTGAGCACAGGTTACTGTGTTTCTATTCATACAATATGGCATTTTCTCCCATGCACTTGCGACCGAGGACAAAAAAGTAGCCACCGAGGACAGGGAAACATCCTTATTTTCCTCTGAAGTAAATCACACTCGCTGCATGTGAACACAATGTTTTGGGTTGGGGGTGTGTCCGTCTTTGCCAAGAGTGCACAAGGGGATCTACTTGACAAAGCCCGCGGTGTTTTGCCGAACATGACACTATAGCCTCACTCACCTGCGAAAGACACCTCCCTCGACCGCTCTAGGTCCGTCTTGTTACCCACCAGGATGATGGGCACTGTCTCAGTCTCTTTGGTCCGCTGGAGTTTGAAACGGAGCTCGTTGGCCTTCTTGAAGCTCCGCCGGTCCGTGACAGAGTAGACCAGGAGGTAGGCATCCCCATCGGCTAAGTACTGCTCCTCCTTGTCGTCAAAGGTGGCCTTTGGGAATAGGAAAAAGATTGGACCAAAGTTGGACAGGAGAATAGGACATGAAATGGGCGAGATAAGATCGTTCACGTTTATGATCTCAACTTCTTTTGTGTGTCTAAAATGTTCAGGATTAAAAATCATTGTTCTGTCCGACTGAACAGGAAAGGTAGCGAATCGTGTTTCATTTTTTTTTCCTCAGAGACAAATTTGTGTTTTTCTACACTCCACGGGCTCAGTCCTTATCAAAGTCAAAGATAGATTAAAAAAAGCGACACAAAAATCCATGGTAAACAGTATGTGGGAATTTTGCCATTTTCTTTAGGAACTGAAAGTGCAAATACTTTCGAATTGGTACTATATGTACGAGCTTTCGGGGAAGGGTTAAGATTCTTTCAGGGACAAAGAGGAATCTGACTTTCGGTTTAGGAAAGAAACCCCCTGACCTGGGGCGCCACTGTCAGTAAAGCAAGTGAACTTAAAAGCCTGTGTCAAACCAACCGCATTTATGCATCTGCAAAGATTTTGACAAAAATCAATCTATAAAATCATCTATTGCACACCCAGGTCGGCAGGCATGAGATTTTGCATCTTGTTGCGTCGAAAATACAACTTTCAAGGAAGGATAGACTTCAAACCGGTTTCTTAAATCGGTATCTCATCCTGCGATAACGGGGAAAATCGTGACACTTATGGTACAGCGTGAGGGAGTAAGTAAGTCGTAAGAGAACGATATCATATGATAGACAGGACAGCTCCATTACGAATGAACTTGATCGCAAGGAATATTTATAAAGGAATACATTATGTGCTTGGCCGGTCTTAAACGTGCGTTTAAGACCGGCTTGGGGAATGAACGCGACGCGATATTAGCGAGGGCATTAGTCGCGTCCATTAGTAGCGTGCGTTAGTTTAAGACCGGCCAAGCACAGATTCATTCCCATTCATGAATGGTTTTTTTTAAGTCATAGAGTCAAAAGAAGTTAAGAAGTCAGTTATATGATGAATTTCCAAAGATTTTGTTCTAAATGTTACTTTCATTTCACCCAACACCCTCCGTCCATTTTATGGTATATTCCTTGTTCAAGTTGTCCCAATGAATCTCCTTGTATGAACTCGGCGAGCTTGGGGAGTTGCTTGCACACATACTTTTGACCAATCAGAATCGACTTCACTCTCTCGTATCCATTTGCCAGCGCTCGATTTAAACAGTGGGCATTATCACTTTTCAGCGGGCATTATCAAATGTTAATACATGGTTAAGGTGCATGTTGTTGAATAGGGAGACTGTCTGAGGCAAATTGATTCCCATAAAATGAAAATCCGCATAAACATTGATCTCAAATGTTATGACCCCAAATGGGATATCTTGCGTTGTGATCATCGCATTACTCGATCAGAGAAAAGTGAGGTCAGAGGCACGGTAAATCTTTTTCAAAAAGTCACTTTGCCTCCTGAAATCCCAGAAAAGTCGACTGGAGTGGACACAACAGCACACCGTACGAGGAGCAGTCCTGGCTCTCCAATATGATGGATTGCCGCTAATCGACTGACGTTGTACTGCCAGGAACACGGACCGTCCGGCTGAAACTAAAGCGTCGCCGATGGTCATCGAGTGCAATTCCAGAGAATACGATTGAGAGGGAAGCATTTTAATGGACCTTGGATGGATTGAGTTTCACTGAATCGTTGAGGGGGGGGTGGTCGTAATACGGGAAAGACGGGAAAGGGGACAGGAATACCACGAGATGGCTTTCCGGGAAATATGTCGATTATGCGCCGTTCTTGTCTGAAATGGAAAATAACTAAAATGCTTCCTGTCGAGAAAATAGGCAAAAGAACGAAATTTTCGCTCAGGACGCAATACATAGGGGGCCCTACATGCAATTCAAATGATGTCAGAAAACTATGTCACCTAAATATGTTATTCGATACCTTTGTCCACTATGTAGCGTCATCGAAAAACAGTAAAGATTAAAGACTATTATATGGAATTGTGGGACAATTTCCCTTCGGGAAATGCTTTAAACTGCAGGTCTTTGACATTTTACTTCATTCCGTCAAGTAGGACTATATGGAACTATATTGATGTTTTTTCTTACGTGCGGTAAAATTTCACGTGACAGAAATCTAGACAAGCCTCGATCTTGAATAATCTTAAATTAAGCCTTTTTTTGAGGGTAATGATTTCAAAGAAGAAATGGTTATTATATTATGTGAGATGTGCGTCCATGGTGCTCTTTGAGAGCATGATGCCTCGCAGGCACTGTACATATATTTTTCATAAACATATCTGTGTGCTCTACGAGTCGCTGAAGAGATAAATTTACATCTCCACGGCACTTGAGAGAACTGCGGCACGGCGTGCAGCAGAGACTTAATCGAAGGGTCTTCAACGTCTTTGACGAGACTGAAATCGACAGCAAACGGAGTAGCCGCCCCAAGAGGAATTCAAGAGCTGAATACTAAAAGGCACTCATCAAAAAGAAAAGATGGCTTTCGCTGGATTAGGGAAAATGTCCTCACCTGGCCGTAAGAGGGAGTATCAATTATGTGTAGTGTCGTAATTTGGCCATCGATCTCGACCGTCTTTTCGTAGAATTCATCCTCAGGATTGTCTGTAATGAGAAGTAAACAGAACAGAGAGGTTTATTCAGAAAGGACCAAAAGATTCGAACAAATTGAGACTGGAATGTTAGCATCAGTGAATTTAAAGGTCAGTCAGATTTCTCGTTAAATGACCGCAATGCACACGAAGTTTAGTAAACACCTCCCTATACAACAAATAATCACACCGCTGGCTGCTGTCACTAGATAGTTTACATGGCTTGGTCGTTTGTTTCTGGTTAACCTGCAGGCGATGTGATACTAAATCGCCATGTTCCAACTAATGCACGAATGTCAGCCGGTCATTTTGATTCTTCGAACCTTAACATTTTCGTTGCTGTCGGAAGGAATCAAGGTGTACGCTAGCTGAAGTGCAACCGAAGCATATCATCAGCTCGATCCCTCCCCCTTCAAATAGGATGTCTTGGTAGAAAAAATATACTTGCATTGTAAGTCAAAACAGCTGAGATGTAATTCTCTGGATGAAGTCTTGTTGTACCAAGACGACGAAACTGTTTACCGTGAAACCATGCACGGTGTAATATTGGGACAAGGAAGCATTTGCGGGTGATCAATCACAGCCGCTCCTTTGGAAAAAGTGAGTAAAGGAGCATGATTGGCGAGGAAAGCGCGGAGGCATAAGCTTCTGCTTGGGATTTGGATAACACTCAAAATCTGGGCGCTTTCCGCAACTGCAAAGACACAAGTGTAGTATTACCCATATCTCGTGCTTGTCTGCTGCTAAGTAAACCTCGCGAGGGAGATGTATATCGCAAATGGAAAAAAGGGTCTCTTTAGGAAGACCTCTAGGTGGTATCCCTCAATCGCTACGAGTCGGGTCACATTACGGTCTGTCGCCGTTATTAATTCTATGCACTCACAAACGGCAAGCAAACATTGTACCTTCGCAAGGGCTCCCGTGCGTTGGGTGGTATGAACAAAGTTCACAAAGTGGAAATAAATGAATTTTCATGTTTGAAACAATGCTAATTTAATCCTTCAGAAGGCATGTTATTTCTATTCGAAATAAAATTGAAATGTTCATTTCTATATATATTCCACACGCTATATAGGACAAGACAGGGCATTTGCCAACGTATAGAAGGACAGAACTATCCCGAGGAGGGGGGTCCACTTTATAAGGAATATCAAATGCCATCAGCAAACAAAGTTATCTGCTTGACAATACATTCAAGAAGGCTTCGAACATCGACAAATATCGACATTAGTGCATGCTGGAGATAAAAACCTCCTTACGACCCGTTGGCTGTGTTTGGTTCTGTTTCTTTTATAGTCAGGGGAACTCAGGCCGGATTTAGTCTACTTTGCCTAGGACAGCAAAGGCCCAGACTCATTGAGGGTTTGTGGGGGACTATTTGTGCTCCTCATCTAAATTGATATCGCCCGAAGCCTTGACTCTACGGTTATACTGCCGTGTTGGCGTTAAGGGGCCTGTGCAATCTACCCATTGTCCAAGACCTCTAAATCTTATCACAACAGGCTTCCATCTCAAGAGCGGAGTTTTACTTATCAGAAGATGAGATTTAAGAAATAAAATGTTGATGGACGTCAGATTAAAATAAGAGAATGGGACACAGTAGCTCTAGCGCCTTCATTGGACATGGCGTCAAGTGAGGGTATCCAAGGCTTTGGTCTCAAGTTTCTCTTTAACTTTGTGTTTTATTAGCGCATATGGGGAACACAGCAGACTTTTTTCCCGAACGAAGGATAAAACTTTGTTTTCCATGTGTCCCGATCGATGGAAGAAGAAAGGGAGTAAGAATCACCGGCCGAGCGTGCACTGTCAGTGGCCCGCCGTCCTACGAAGGTCGGACTCCGACCAGCCGGAAAGGCCGCTTGTGACGCCTCACGAGGCTGCATGACGGACAAAACGCCAGAGGATCCTCGGGGACTTGACGACTGAAAATCGAGGCAAGGGTATTGATCCACCTTTCTGAGAAGACTGGGTGCCCGGGAATATTCCTCTGGCAGCCGGCCTATGTGCTAAGACCCCAGCTATTCCTCAATGCCTCTCAGCGATAGGATTTCATTTGTCTTTTTTCTGTGCGTGAACTTTGAGAACCAATATTGACGCTTTATTTTCAAACGGAAAACAAACATACTTCGACTGCCTGACATTTTTCGTTTTTTATTCGGTCACCAGAAGGTGACTAGGCTTAGATTCAGTCTTAGAATCCTTTCAGATTAATCTCGCTCGAATCTCTTAACTTCAAAGAAGCCGCCCAGGGTCATAAGTTGTTACTACAGAGAAACCTTCCATGTGATCACAGTGAATAGGAAGCCCCTATCATGGAGAAAGCCAGCGCTTTGTAAAATGGTTACCACAGTTCTGAGGGCATTACAAGGGGCCTGGTACCCGTATCAGCACGCGCCAAGATTCAACTGGAAACAACATCAACAACAGCAACCAAGAGCAGCAACATTAGCACCCACATCACTTTCAACAACAGAAGCAACGACGGATAGGACCTTTAGCACTACAACTGTGACGACGCACATTCGCAACAGCAACAGCAGCAAACGATGAAGCATCCTACTCTACCAACATTGCTCACCGCGACAACCATGATAACACTTCTATAAAACCACAGTAGCAACGACAATGCCTGCTGCTGTTCTCAATACTACTTTTCTTTTTGGTTTTCAAAGGGTGGAATCAACTTACTCAACGTCCTTCCCTTCTAATAAAACGAAACTAGAGTCAGGATATCATAGGACTGCAGGACGTAATGGGGGAACTTCGTGTGTGGGGGGGTTGAAAACACGAAGCTTTGATTAATAGATTGTCTCCCGCAGCCTTATACAACAGAGAGAATTCCCCAAGAAACTCTCGGGGCTGGAAAACCGACAACTCGGCGTGCCGTAAAAGGACGTGCCAACAAGCATGATCACAACGTGACTGGCATGTCCCGTGCGCTGAATTCTACAAATAAACAGAATGTTCAATCAGTGATTCGGATCGTGCCCGCTCGTGTCATGCACATGTTGGAAAGCGTGTACAGAGCAACGCTTGTCTTTAACCTTTGCATTCTTGTACGTGACATAGCGCTAAGCATGCCTTATTTCAGGAGAACACGCTCCAAATGGTGACGGTTGTGCCGATTGGCCCTTTGGGTGAAATTGAGATGGTCGTTATCTTCGAAACATGTCTTTGCGTGTGTACATTCAAATGAAATGTGAATTTGTGCCCTTAGGAGTGTGTTTGCATAATACAGTTAAACAGATTTATAGAGACAACACATTCATTTTTCACAACTAGCTGAAACGAGGAACATTGGAATATTTATGTACGAAGGCAACGCTCCTGAAGAAAGTACCGTAGTGTTTCGTTTAACGCAGATGGAAATCCGTTTACACCAATTCCGGCACGTACGATTCAACGATCATTACATCCCACGCTGATCTGCGATCTCATACGCTCGAGCTGTTGGGGGCATAAAGGAGCATACCTGTCCTGAGAGATGTTTTCAAGCTGTTCAGTGTTCTAGGCTGCCTAAACCTCTAAAGCTCTCCATCTTTCTTCCATATTAATAGTGAATGGGGGATGGTGACCACATGGTCTTTTATTTGTATGTTGCTCTTCCAACTTGGTTTTCAAAATGGAGATGATTTGCGTGTTTGTGATGTGCATTAAGCCTTTAAAGTCAGGCCTCCCTGGAAGGGAAAAAAAGAGGCCAGGCGAGGCTGTGAGTTGAAATGAAGACGATGTGATAGAAGCAAAAAAAAAAAAAAAAAAAAAGGCAAAGGCATTATTTTCTGCAGTTTCAAGAAAGGTCTATGGATCACTCTCAAAGTATCTGCTATTCATATGCGGGGCCAAAAGCTGGAGAAACATCATCCTTGTTAGTAGCAGATTCTATTTCCGGTAGTATTTAGTTGAGGTGTTTATTATGTGGTGTTTTGATAGTTGCGTGAGATCTGTTTACACTAAATGAATTATTCTTTTGCATTTGTACGAACGGCCAGCCGTAGTTTTACCATCAACTTACTTGTAGATAAAATACGACGGTTACGTAAAAACGAGCCAACCCTCTTCCTTAATTGAGTTGAATTCGTGGACTCAAGCCCTACCACATCTCCTAAGTCATTCCCACTTGGGCTGAAGGAAACCAAGTTTGTCACTATTTTAAAGTGAATCCATCATAATACACAGAATGTACAGAGTAAAACCATTACGTTAGGAACCCCTCCCCCAAAAAGAACCACCCCAGAGAAGAGCTGATTATTGAAGGAGAAATGTCCTTACATGAAAACTGGCATGACATGAGAATTTAACAGTCCGGGTTGGTTTGAATCATTTCTACTCGTGGTCTTTTCATTTTAGTTTGAAACAATATTTTTGGAAAAGAATACCAAAAGAGTCGTGTGTATCTGGATGCAACACTTCTACATGTAGATAATATTGCAAACTGATTGCACTCCTACATGCAGATAAGATTGCAAACTGATTGCACTCCTACATGCAGATAAGATTGCAAACTGATTGCACTCCTACATGCAGATAAGATTGCAAACTGATTGCACTCCTACATGCAGATACGATTGCAAACTCCTTGCACTTCTACATGCAGATAAGATTGCAAACTGATTGCACTCCTACATGCAGATAAGATTGCAAACTGATTGCACTCCTACATGCAGATAAGATTGCAAACTGATTGCACTCCTACATGCAGATAAGATTGCAAACTGATTGCACTCCTACATGCAGATAAGATTGCAAACTGATTGTTGTCTATAGTCTTAAAATAGATTCATGGCTTTACAGTGATCTCGGTTTTCTGTATATATATATTTCTAATGTTGTGACGGATAATGCATTACAAGTTTTATTTCACATTTATACCTTAGCATATAACTCCATCTCTATTTGCTAGTATTTTGGGGAATTTCATTAGGATGTGCCATTCTGAAGAAAATCCCACACGCATCTTTTTTTGTTGTGGAATGTATCAAGTAGTTTTTTGTCCAAGTCAAAATAATAATTACA